GGAGTGCAGTGGAGGATGGTCCAAGTGCTTGTGCCCTGCAACCACATGGGAGACCAGAAGGAAGCACCTGGCTCCTGGCTTCGGATCAGCACACCGTGCCGGCTGCAACGCACCAGCCGTAGTAGCCACTTGGGGGGTGAACCAACGGAAAAGGAAGACCTGTCTCTCTGTGTCTCTCTCTCTCTCTCCATCTAACTCTGCCTGTCAAAAAAAAAAAAAAAGAATCAGCACCCTCAAGGCGAGGAGAAACAGCTCCCAGTAGCCATCAGAGCCCCAGCGAGATCTGCTCGTCTTTACTCAGATGCCATCATGGCCCCTGCTGCCTCGGCTGACCCCGCCTCCCGAACTCACCCAGGGGTCGGAGAACACTTTACAGACGCCCTGCTTATTTACCTGAGCCTGCTTCCCAGGAAACTCAACCTACAGTAGCCTTTTCTTTTTTAAAAAGATTATCTATTTATTGGAGAGGCAGTCAGGGAGGGGGGGAGAGAAAGACAAAGGGGTCCTCCATCCACGGGTTCACCCCCGAAATGGCTGCAACAACTGAGTTGAGCTGATCCAAAGCCAAGGAGCCAGGAGCCCCTCCGGGTCTCCCACAGGGGTGCAAGGGCCAAAGCACTTGGACCATCCTCCACCACTTCCCCCGGGCCATTAGCAGGGAGCTGGATTGGAAGTGGAGCAGCCAGGACTCCAACAGGCACCATGTGGGATGGCTGTGGCACCAGCAGAGGCTTAATCTACTACACCAAAGTGCTGGCCCCCTTTTTTTGTTTTTTTAAAGATTACCAGTAACCTTTTTCTATAAAAATCTCTCCCCTTAAACTGTTTGAGGTAAGTAGGGGTTTTGTTTGGGGGCACATTGAATTTAAAAGAAATCCAACTATATACATAGCCTCTCCAATTTGAGTAGAGTGTATGTGTGTGTGTGTGTGTGTGTGTGTGTTTAAGATTTACTTATTTATTTCTTTATTTGAAAGGCATAGTTACAGAGAGGCATGGGCAGAGGTAGACAGAGAGAGAGAGAGGTCTTCTACCTGCTGGTTCACTCCCCAGAAAGCTGCAATGGCCAGAGCTGCACCAATCTGAAGCCAAGAGCCAGGAGCTTCTTCCAGGTCTCCCACATGGGTGCAGGGACCCAAGCACTTGGGCCATCTTCATCTGCTTTCCCAAGCCACAGCAGAGAGCTGGATCGGAAGTGGAGCGGCCGAGTCTCAAACCAGCACTCATATGGGACGCTGGCATGGCAGGCAGGCTTTACCCGCTACACCACAGCACCAGCCCAGAATGTGTGCTTTTTACCCAGCTAAATCTACTGAGGCTCTTTCCCCATTGCTACCCTCAAAATTACCTTCTCTATAACTGGCTCTCTCCCCAAACCCAATTTGCAACAAACTGAAAGCCTACATCTCCTCCATCTTCAAAAGCTGAAATTACCCACCCTTCCCCCCAAGGAAGGTGGGGGCTTTGGTGTGATTAGATCATGAGGGCGGCACCCACGAGATGGGGATGGTGCCCTCCTAAGAGACCCTGGAGGGCTAGCTAGCTTAGGACACGGCAAGAAGACCCATCTGTGAACCAGGAACAGACCCTCGCCTGATAGCGAATCTGCTGGCACCTTGACCTCAGACTTCCCAGCCTCTAGGACTGTCAGAAATAACCTTCTGCTGTTTATAAGTCGCCCGGTTTACCATGCCTTGTTAGTCTAGTGCACTGAGACAGAGTTTTTATTTAAATTTCATCATTACAATTATACAGATCCTCATTATAAAAGTAGGGTCTTTGGCTATCCCCTCCTAGCAACCATGCCACCACTATTTTCAATCTGGGGCTCCCTCCAGATTCTGAATCAGGAAAGTTGTGTCTCCCCTGTCTATGGTCTGCATATCTCAAGTTAAATTCTGAACAGCCTTCACTTTCTGCAGTCCACATTATAACCCTTTCTTTAAAAACTTCCAGATGGAAAACAGCAGAACGCTTTGTCAAATGTCCTCACTCAAGCATCTTAGTTACAGGGATTAACAGCCACTTGGGAAAGAAGACAGCAACCTAGTTTAAGGCACCCAAAGAAAAGGGACAAGGGTCTTTTCTAGGGCAAAGGAGAGAATCAATGTTGTAGAGCCTGGGAAAGAAACTAACATTTCTGTTGTCCTTTTTTAGATTTATTTTCTTTATTTGAAAGGCAGGGGAGAGAGACAGGAGAAAGGAGAGAAAAAGGAGAGACAGACAGACAGACATACCTTCCATTAGCTGGTTCACTCTCCAAATGGTTATAATGGCCAGGGTTAGGCCAGGCAGAAACCAAGAGCCCTGAACTCCATCAGGGTCTCTCACGTGGATACAAGGACCCAAGCACTTGACGCATGATCCGCTGCTTTCCCAGGCACATTTGCAGGGAGCTGCATCAGAAGTGGAGCAGTTGGGACATGAAACAGCATTCATATGGGATACCAGTGTTGCAGGCAGTAACTTAACCTGCTGAGCCACATCGCTGGCTCCAAAACTAGCTTTTCTGTAACTTGCAAGAGAAAGCATTTCAGCATTCATAGTACTGTGAACAAAACAGTGATCAAGTATGAATTTTATAAGATTCAGGTATTAGGTAACCTATATACAGGCTCATGATCAAGGACACAATTGAGTCTCCAACCCTGGGCCTCTATAGTAAACAGTTGTTCCTGAGAGCCCAAGCTTAGGCCACTCAAGGAGGGACTTTAGGGAAGACGGTCACATCTTCCAGAACACCAGGGGTCACACTTCCAGACACAGAAGAGTCTCATGTGTCACTGGTATTGAAATGTGCTTTGGGAAAGCAGAAAATTCCTTCTAAAGTAAAACACTAAAGTCTTCCAAAATTTCAACTCGAGGTTTGTCGAGAAAGATGCTTCCCTGAGCACAGGCTGGTACATGTTGAGCATCCCTCATTGGAGAATCAAACTCAGACTGTTCCAGAATCCTAAACTTTCTGAGCGCCATGTGATGCCAAAGTGGGAAAGCTCACACCATGAAACTGTTTTCATCTACAAAGTTATTAAAAATATTATCTAAAATTACCTTTGGTTTATGTGTATAAATTCTACATAAAGGGGTCAGTGCTGTGGCATAGTGGTTAACGCCACTACCTGCAGTGCCGGCATTCCATATGGGCACTGGCTCAAGTCCCAGCTGCTCCACTTCTGATCCAGCACCCTGCTAATGTGCCTGAGAAAGCAGTGGAGGATGGCTCAAGTGCTTGGGCCCCTGCACCTACATGGGAGCCAAGAAGCAGCTCCAGGTTCCTGGCTCCTGGCTTCAGATCAGCCCAGCTCCAGCTGCTGCAGCCATTTGGAGAGTGAACCAGGGAACGGAAGACTTCTCTCTTTCTGTTGTGTTTCTCTCTATATATCTCTGCCTTTCAAAAAAGTAAGTCTTTAAACACAATTAATAAATAAATAAATTTATATAAAACATAATTTAATTTTGTGCTTACACTTGGGTCCCCTCCCAAAGACATCTCATAACGTGTGTGCAAATATTTCTACAACAGCAAAAAACTGAAAACACTTCCAAGCCACAGCATTTTCTCTCTTTATTTTTTAAAGATTTATTTTATTTGAAAGCCAGAGTTACACAGAGAGAAGAGAGGCAGACTGAGAGAAAGGTCTTCCATCCGATGGTTCACTACCCAATTGGCCGCAACGGCTGGAGCTGCGCCGATCCAAAGCCAGGAACCAGGAGCTTCTTCTAGGTCTCCCACGCAGGTGCAGGGGCCCAAGGACTTGGGCCATCTTCTACTGCTTTCCCAGGCCACCGCAGAGAGCTGGATCAGAAGAGGAGCAGCCAGGACTAGAACCAGCGCCCATATGGGATGCCGGTGCTCCAGGCCAGGGCGTTAACCCACTGCGCCACAGCGCCGGCCCCAGGCCTGAGCATTTTCAGTAGGGGATCTTCAACCCATAACTTCCAAAGATTTCTGCTGGTTGCTGGGACATTTCTGAACAGGAAACTAGGAAATATCAACTCATTTTGAGGGATGAAAAGCAGTTATTTGGAAGAAACAAAAAGAGAAAAAGGCAGGGTGAGGGAAATATACATGAGGGAAAAGAACAATCAAGCAGGAAAAGAAAAAACAGAAAATCCACCTCAGAAGGAATAACAGGCAAGCATCAAAACCACACTATAGGGCCCGGCACTGTGGCACAGTGGCCTGCAGTGCCAGCACTCCATATGGGCGCCGGTTCGAGTCCCAGCTGCTTTTCTTCCTATCTGCCTCTGCTATGGCCTGGGAAAGAGTAGAAGATGGACTAAGTGCTTGGGCCACTGCACCTGCATGGGAAGACCTGGAAGAAGCTCCTGGCTTTTGGCTTCAGATCTGCTCAGCTCTAGCCATCGTGGCCATTTTGGGAGTGAACCAACGGATGGAAGACCTCTCTCTCTATCTCTACCTCTCCCTGTATCTCTTTCAAATAAATAAAATAAATCTTTAAAAAAAAAGAAAACTACACTACTTGCTGTATCATTACTGATGATTTGGGCTGCAAGTCTCAGAAAACCCACAATGCATATTTTTCTGAATTTCTCTTATATAAGAAGTCTGGAGAGGCCTTGCTGGCATTGGTTCATCAGCTCAGCCACATCAGAACGAAAGCCTACTCCTTGTGGTCCTAAGATGATGGCCGCACAGCCACTCCTAACGAGAAGGTGGCCAGTGAGAAAATGAAATGGAGGTGGGTGAGGCAGCCGCCCCTCCGCCACAGCAACAAGAAAACCCTGGGCAACCTGACAGTGTAGGGCCAAGTACAATGGGTGGGTACTGAGTCCATTCAGGTGTTTACCTAAGCTCCCAGCTGAGCACAGACGGAATCCCACATCACATTAGTTTGTAGGCAGAGACAGAACACTTGTGTATATTTACATGTTTTGTTTCTATCGTCCAAGAAACTCTACCTACAGAACTCACTCACAGAAAAGTTCCAAAGTTATGAAGTAGTGGGAAAACATGATTTGAATGGCTCCAAACACAATCAAGTTCAAAGAGTGCATTTATTTTCACTCTACTGACAAAGGAACAGAGTATAAATGTATTAAGGAATGAAGGAAACAAAAATGATACATTTTTATACAGCAATACTTGTCAAGATTCTTTAAATACTTTAAATTTTAGAATCTCTACTTTCAGTATTTAACAGTTAAAATCTGCTTTTAAAAATAACTTCTTTATCATCTCTCGAAGAAGTTTTAGAAAACTTAACCTATATGATTGAAACTAGGAATATCTTAACAAAAGAATTACAATTTTATCTTCTCTGAAAATCTCCAAGTTGCTAGAAACCAAGCAAACCAGATCATTACCAACTTTTAAAATATCCAAAGGCTCTTAAAATTGGGAAAATTATTAGAAGGACGTGTTCAGCGTTCAGCAAGATTCACATACATGGAAGAAGTCCATACCCCTAACCATCAGCAGCAGCTCGCTCACTGCTGGATCTTGCGCAGCTGGAGACGAGGCTCCTCAGACGTCAGCCGTGTGACAGCCCGCTGCACAGACTCCACTTGATTTCCTTCAGCAGATCTCTAACAATGTGGCGAAAGGCATGCGGGCACATTGCCACGATCTTTCCTTCTGAGTGTGGACACAGCTCCTGTTGTCGGTCCCTTGGTCAACAGCGTTTGTGTGTATCAGTTCTTCCTCTCCTGCCCTTCTGACTGTGAAGTGTTATGTCCAAACTGAAATAAAGCGAATGTTTAATACGCAATTTATTCCAGGGCAAAAAAAAAAAAAAAAAGAATGTCATGGTAAGTAGCAGATGACACTTTGGACTGAATTCGTTCAACAAAAAAACAGTGATGTGAGCACTGGTGAGACGTCAGACACATGCTCAAAGCTAAGGACACAACAAAGCCAGCCAGCCAGCCACATGGCCTGGGAGTTGACGACAATTTTGAGTCCCTATGTGTCCAGCCTGAAAGTTGACGCTCTAAAATATATACGAAAATATTCTAAAATGTTCATAGTTAGATGGAAACAAAGAGCTAAGAGACAATGAACACACAGCACCTGACCACCAAATAATTGTTGGAATTCAGTGATGCACTGTCCTGGGAAATAGTGTGTTTTACCTGGATAACTAATGATTTTGAACATCCCATAATTGTAATGAACCACATCCTAGTCTCTGCTCTCCCCCTCAGATGTGGGATTATGGGCACTGTTAGGCTCACTCAACCTGGGTCTCGCAGGTGAACGGCAAGGACCAACCACTGCAGCCATCTCCGCCGTCTCCCGCGCTGTGCACTAACGGGAAGCTGGAACTGTGCTTCCAATTCTGACTGCTTCATCGGAACTCGAACCCAGGTACTCCATATGGGATGCAGGGCCCCAAATGCCACACCAAATACCCACCCCATCCAACCCCCAAGCCTTATTCTTATTACTGCAACAAAACTGTAGGATGCGAAAACCACCCTAAATTAGAATTATTTCTAAATTTCAAGAAATGAGATTTCAACAAAAGGAGTAATCTTAAGGATGAACTGCTTGAAATAAAGTGTGTCCTGTTAAACATCCAATAAATATTATTAACAATTATTATGATCTTATTTCCTATTTTAAAAGCAGAGTTGGGGTGAGTATTGGGACAGCAACTAAGATGCTATGTGGGATACCCATCTCCCATATCAGAGTGCCTGGGTCCCAGTCCCAACTCTGTTAATTCCGGCTTCCTGCTACTGCATACCCTGAGAGGCAGCAGGTGATGGCTCAAGTACCTTGGTCCCTGCCACCAACATGAAAGACTGAGTTCCAGGCTCCTGGCTTCAGCCTAGCCCAGCCCTGGCTGTTGCAGGTGTCTGGGGAGTGAAGCAGTGGACCAAAGATCTTTCTCTGTCTCTCTTTCAAATAAATAAATAAAAATTAAAGGGGCGGGCGCTGTGGAGCAGTGGGTTAACGCCCTGGCCTGAAGCGCCAGCATCCCATATGGATGCCGGTTCAAGACCCAGCTGCTCCACTTCTGATCCAGTTCTCTGCTATGGCCTGGGAAAGCAGCAGAAGGTGGCCCAAGTCCTTGGGCCCCTGCACCTGCATGGGAGACCCAGAAGAAGCTCCTGGCTCCTGGCTTCAGATTGGTGCAGCTCCAGCTGTTGCGGCCAATTAGGGAATGAACTATCGGATGAAAGACCTCTCTCTCTCTGCCTCTCCTCGCTCTGTGTAACTCTTTCAAATAAATAATAAAAATAAATTTAAAAAAAATTAAGATTAAAAAGCAGAGTTTAACATGCCTTTCAACTAAATAATCCGATGTCTTTTTATGTGGGAAAAAGACTACAGTATTCACATTTGATATGCTTAGATTCAATATGGTTAAAACTATGTAGAGTTATTTGCTGGTTCTCTCAAAGTTTCAGTCACCCAGTTGGTCCTGAAGACAGCAACCTTTAATTAGCACCTGTCTGTGATAAAATCTTTTTTTTTAAACATGTAGAGGTTTTTGTTTTTTGTTTGTCATTTTTTTTTTAACATTTATTTATTTATTTGAAAGGCAGAGTTACAGAGAGGCAGAGGCAGACAGAGAGAGGGGAAGAGAGAAGTCTTCCATCTGCTGGTTCACTTCCCAAATGGCTACAATGGCTGCAACTGAGCTGATCCGAAGCCAGGAGCCAGGAGCTTCTCCAGGTCTCCCACACCTGTGCAGGGGCCCAAGGACTTGCGCAATCCTCTACTGCTTTCCCAGGCCACAGCAGAGAGCTGGATCGGAAGTGGAGCAGCCGGGATTCAAACCAGCATCCATATGGTAAGCTGGCACTGCAGGCAGCAGCGTTTACCCCCTATGCCACAGTGCCAGTCCCCTGTGATAAACTTATAAACTTGAACATGAGTACTTTTCTTTTCTAAGATTTATTTATTTGGAAGAAAGAGGGAGAAACAGAGAGAAAGAGATCTCCTATCCTCTGGTTCACCTCCCAAATGCCCACAACAGTTGGGGCTGGGCCTGGCCAAAGACAGGTGTCAGAAACTCCATCTGGTCTCCCACACGGGTGACAGGGACCCAAGAACTTGGGCAAATCTTTCGCCTTTCCAGGCACATTAGCAGAAAGCTGGATGAGCAGCAGAGCAGGCTGGAATTGAACCAGCCTCCAGTATGGAACGCGGCCAGCCCAAGCAGCACCACAACACGGGCCCTCGCGTGATGACTGTGTAAATCAGTCGAGTGCTTTATTTCACAAGTCTTCACAATAGGTGAAAAGCAAAGACGAGGACATAAAATTCACAGAAACAGCAACATAATCGTCTAACACATTCTGCATAATAACTTCAAGAAAACTTGAATGCAAAGCTCTATAGTAAACAGTCCACTTGAAAAGAACTTAAACATTATTTTTACATTATTATACCTCACCCTTGAAGTTTCTGGACTAGAAAAGGGCGACGACTCCCAAGATCTATTTTCTTTCTCAAAGGAATCATCTTCTTGGAACGCAAATTTTTGCTTAAGTGCTTGTGATATTAAAGACACAGGGTCCCACTGTGAAGTCGGTCTTTTCCTCTTGTGAATGGGTCTACCACCAGGTGACCTAATTTTAAAATTGAATAAATTGAAATTTTGATGTAATTTTAGATCCTTATTGACAAACACAAGAGAAATATAAGAACAATATCTTATAATATAATTAGTTAATCTCATTATTTTTCAAGAGAATGTTGCCATGAAATAAGGAATCTCCAGGGCACATGAATTAAGATTCAGAAAGTCACAAAAACATGTGGGTTAGGGCTACCTAATATCACTGTGCTGAAAATCTTTACTTTTCATTTTCTAATTGTCTAGGTAGGGAAATCTGAAGAAATATGTAAGAATTTTTATTATTATTTTTTAAGATTTATTTATTTGAAAGGCTGAGTTACAGCAAGAAAAGGAGGTATAGAGAAGTATCTTCCATCTGCTGGTTTAGTTCCCAAACGGCCACAACTACCAGGGCTGGGCCAGGCTGATACTAGGAGCCTAGAACTCAATCCAGGTCCCCTGCACAGGTGGCAGGAGCCCAAGTGCTTGGGCCACCCTTTGCTGCTTTCCCAGGCACACTAGCGGAGCCGGCTTGGAAGAGGAGCAGCCGAACTTGAACTGGCACCCAAATGGGATTCCAGCATCGCAGGCAGCCGCTTAACCTACTGCGACACATTGCTAGCCCCCAAGAATTTTAAAAAGGACTAGTCTTCATGAAAAGAAAACCAATAGGCTAATTGCTCACTCATATAGTCATGCATTCATTCAACTGCCATTGAATGCCTACTATTTCTTCATGCAACTCAGAAAGGCCTGCAATTTAAAATGTATGAACTACTTGCTTCTGCAATTTTCCATTTGATACTATCAGATCACAGTTGGTTTTGAGTTACTGAAACCACAGAAAACAGAACCATCGGGGCCAGCACCGTGGTGCAGTAGGTTAATCCTCCACCTGCAGCGCCGGCATCCCATATGGGTGCTGGTTCTGGTCCTGGCTGCCCCTCTTCCAATCCAGCTCTTTGCCTGGGAAAGCAGTGGGAGATGGTCCCAAGTGCTTGGGCTCCTGCATCCACATGGGAGACGGGGAAGAAGCACCTGGTTCCTGGCTTTGGATCGGCGCAGCTCCGGTTGTTGCAGCCATCTGGGGAGTGAACAACGGAAGGAAGACCCTCCTCTCTGTCTCTCCCTCTCACTGTCTGTAACTCTACCTCTCAAATAAATAAATAAAATCTTTAAAAATTAAAAAAAAAAAAACTAAAAAGAAAAGAAAACAGGACCATCAATAAGGGGAACTACTGTATTCCTAACCTTCTATGGTGGAAAGTAAATATAATTAAAATACTGAGAAATAGCAAAAGTCTGTTTCAAAAATAAAGAGATGCCGGCGCCGCGGCTCACTAGGCTAATCCTCCGCCTTGCAGCGCCAGCACACCGGGTTCTAGTCCCGGTTGGGGCGCCGGATTCTGTCCCGGTTGCCCCTCTTCCAGGCCAGCTCTCTGCTGTGGCCCGGGAGTGCAGTGGAGGATGGCCCAGGTGCTTGGGCCCTGCACCCCATGGGAGACCAGAAGAAGCACCTGACTCCTGCCATCGGATCAGCGCGGTGCGCTGGCCGCAGCGCGCTGGCCGCGGCGGCCATTGGAGGGTGAACCAACGGCAAAGGAAGACCTTTCTCTCTGTCTCTCTCTCTCGCTGTCTACTCTGCCTGTCAAAAAATAAATAAATAAATAAATAAATATTTAAAAAAAAAAAATAAAAATAAAGAGATAAGACACTAGAAGGAAAATCAACAACTGAAAGTAATTATCTCTGTCTGGGGAGGAGAAAGACAAAATTGTGCGGTGTTTTTCATGAACACAATCTTAAAAACCAAGGGGTACAATTTCAGTTCATTTCTCAAAGCTGCAAGAACATACCGTTCAATAGCCCGAAGCTTGACCTTGTTCATATCCTTGAGAACATCCAACATGTCTGGAAGACCTTTCATTCTCTGGCTCTTTGAATGATGACCATAACTGGTCTTACTAGCACCTGGATTTCCCGAGTCACAAATATCATCTGATTCTGGCTGGATGGGAGGGAAACACGAAGGCTGGAGAGGAGAAAATGGAGGGGGAAGCGGTGGAGGTGGAGGAGGGGAAGAAAGGATCAAACCCGGAAACTGAGCAGCTCCTGATGGTGGTGCTTGTCCTAATCTACTGGGCCTGTCATTCACGTCAAAGGAACCTACAAACAAAGATTGTTTAAAAGAGTGAAAAATTATCCCTAAAATGATATATAACATTAATTAGGACTAAAACAGAAACAATTACAGTATTCCTACTACCACTGTGCTACGCTAGCCAGCAAGCAAAATAAGTCCTAATTGCTTGGCAAATTCTTTAAGAATCAAGTCAGGGGCTGGTGCTGTGGCACAGCAGGTTAATGCCCCGGCCTGCAGTGCCAGCAACCCATATGGGCGCCAGTTCGAGACCTGGCTGCTCCACTTCCGATCCTGCTCTCTCTATGGCCTGGGAAAACAGTGGAAGATGGCCTAGGTCCTTGGGCCTCTGCACCCACGTGGGAGACTCGGAGGAAGCTCCTGCCTCCTGGCTTCAGATAGGAGCACCTCCGGCCGTTTCAGCCAATTAAGGAGAGACCATGGATGGAAGACCTCTCTCTCTCTCTCTGCCTCTCCTCTCTCTGTATAACTCTGACTTTAGAATAAATAAATAGGCCGGCGCCGCGGCTCACTAGGCTAATCCTCTGCCTGCAGCGCCAGCACACCGGGTTCTGGTCCCATTTGGGGCGCCAGATTCTGTCCCGGTTGCCCCTCTTCCAGTCCAGCTCTCTGCTGTGGCCCGGGAAGGCAGTGGAGGATGGCCCAGGTCCTTGGGCCCTGCACCCGCTTGGGAGACCAGGAGGAAGCATCTGGCTCCTGGCTTCGGATCGGTGCAGTTCGCCGGCTGCAACACACCAGTCGTAGTGGCCACTTGGGGGGTGAACCAATGGAAAAAGGAAGACCTTTCTCTCTGTCTGTCTCTCACTGTCTAATTCTGCCTGTCAAAAAAAATATATATTAAAATAAAAAAAGAATCAAGTCAACTTATAAATTCATTTTTTTTTTATTTGACAGTGAGAGAGAGAGACAGAGAGAAAGGTCTTCCTTCTGTTGGTTCACTCCCCAAATGGTCACTATGGCCAGCACTGTGCCGATCCAAAGCCAGGAGCCAGGTGCTTCTTCCTGGTCTCCCATGCGGGTGGAGGCGCCCAAGCACTTGGGCCATCCTCAACTGCCCTCTCGGGCCACAACAGAGAGCTGGACTGGAAGAGGAGCAACCTGGACTAGAACCCGGTGCCCATATGGGATGCCGGTGCTGCAGGCTGAAGATTAACCAAGTGAGCCATGACGCCAGCCTCCAGTAATCATATTTACACATAGCTCCTTACATCCAAATCTATTGTTTTTTTTATTATTATTTTTATTTTTTGAAAGGTAGAGTTAGACAGTGAGAGAGAGAGAAAGGTCTTCCTTTTTCTGTTGGTTCACCCCCCGAGTGGCCACTATGGCCGGCGCGTTGCGGCCAGCGTGCTGTGCCAATCCAAAGCCAGGAGCCAGGTGCTTCTCCTGGTCTCCGATGCGGGTGCAGGACCCACGCACTTGGGCCATCCTCCACTGCATTCCCAGGCCACAGCAGAGAGCTGGACTGGAAGAGGAGCAACTGGGACAGAACCAGTGCCCCAACTGGGACTAGAACCCAGGGTGCTGGCGCTACAGACAGAGGATTAGCCTAGTGAGCTGCGGCGCTGGCTAAATCTATTGTTAAAAGCACTCACTCAGTATGTTGCTTTAAATTTCACACATACTCACATGCACATATGCATGGATTTCAAAATTTTTTAAAGCAAAAAGTAACATCTTTTAATTCCACTTTCCATGAACTTTTTGAAGTATACTCTTATGTATGTACTATTTATGTGTGTGTGTTTAAAGCAAGTAGCAAGTTGCATTTCTAAAAATTTAGAAAAGGATCATCTGGAAAACACTGTTCACCTGAATGCAGTGGAAGGGTAGCATCAGTAACTAAAAGTACAAATATATGAGGCCTCAAACCTATATGCCTCTTTTCAAACCAATGGATTCTTTCATCTCCAACACTTTTGTGATGAACTGGAAAATTTTATTTAGAAAACAAGGGACATTTTTACACAAAAACAATCTTCACAATATAACTAGCTCTTCTTTAAACCAAAAGCCATAAACACCAGATATTATCATTGTATATATTCAGAGCCAGCATTGTAGCACAGTGAGTTAAGTCGCCACCTGTGACAATGGCATCCCATATGGGTGCTGTTTCCAGTCCTGGCTGCTCCACTTCCCATCCAACTCCCTGCTAATATGCCTGGGAAAGCAGCAAATAATGCCCCAAGTGCTTGGGCCTCTGAAGGCCCGTGAGAGACCTGGAGGAAGCTCCTGACTCCTGGCTTTGGTCTGGTCCAGCTCTAGCCATTGCAGCCATTTGGGGAGTGAACTGGTGGATGGAAGATCTCTCTCACTGTCTCTCTGCCTTTCAAATAAACTTAGTTAATCAATTAATTAATAAAAGAATTGTACTGATTTAAAAACCAGATGAGCATCACCTAAGAAACAAAAATTCCAGTATGTGACTTACCAGAATTTGTGCTGTTTCTCAGTTCCTGCATTTGCACAATTGCAGCAATCTGAGAGCGAAGAAAAGTAAGTTCCTCTTCGAGGGCAGCTATTTTTTTTACTGCAGCTTCATTTGCAGACAGGTCATGTTTCACTGGTTTGTGTTCTCGTCGAGTAGGTGGCAATGGATCCCCGACTAGTTGCACAGGACGGGTAAATTCAGTTTTCTCCTCTCCTCCATGTTTCCACATGCTACTTCTGTGGGATCGAAGGAAGAAATGGGGAGAGACGGAGGGGACGTGGGAAGGAAATTTTCAATCAAACAAGGAAAACAATTTTTTCATGAAAAGCAAAATACTGCAAAATCAGAGTAACCTTCTTTCCCTATGAGCAACTCTAGATTCACTGAAGACGAACCTATCTTATTTAGCTTTGTGTTCTCAATATAAGGAACTGAACACACCCTCCACTGGAAGGACATTAAGGGATAAGGGGGCTTTGCTTTTAGATTGCAGAACAAAAATAATTACCCTATAATTATTCTACTTTTTATCACAGTAGAAATTCTTTAAAAATTCTACATAAGGTATGAAGGGCCCTATATTCAGAATTATGTTAGGAGTAAGTTTATGATCTTCTATCATTTGGAAAATTGATAAACTATACATAACAAGTTTAGCCACGTTATGTGAATAACTGGTTCTCACTGTGCTTATAGCCTGTATCTGAATAAATTATCACATAAGTCGGTATTCCTTCAGTGTAACATATCCAAAGTTTCGAAATAGTTGTCTCTCAGAATCTGTGGGGAAATTTGTTCTGGGACCCCCACCCACCCCGAGACACTAAATCCACAGATGCTCAAGTTCCTCACATAAGATAGTCTACACTGCATGTGTGAGCTAAGAGGGGTTGTGACTGCAGAGCCAGAGGCCTGAGACATGCAGTGAAGATGCTCCGAAGCAACCTCCCAACACATGCTAACCCCAACCAAAGAAACAGCTACTGTCTCTTCATCAATAAATCAATCTTTACAAAAGTGAGCTTTCCCTCTTAGGGCAAGTGGGTGGGAAGAGTGATTAATGACCTATAGAGATCACACCATAGAGAGTGGGTATGTAATGCACCTCCTTAATCAGTGATCACATCTGTGAACTATTTCCAGGTGTTCTTCCATTTTTAATGAGGTATTCTTCCATTTTCAATGTGATAACTACACATAACTTTGTCTTATTTGAACTTGATTCAATGCATATACCCACTTTATGAGAAAAGTATAAAACCTGTAACTACACTCAAGTTTGTGGAAGAACCAACTCAGGCAACTGACAGGTTGAGTTAAATCTGCAATTTGATTAGCTAAATACACTTAAACTTTGATTTTCAATCTGACTGATTCTTTCACTGAACACATATAACCTTCACTCATCTTCCTATATACTTCAGATCATCTCTAGAGTACTTACAATTCCCAATACAATGCTGACACACCACTTGTTATGTGTGGAATCAGCATGATACATGGAGTATAGCAAATTCAAATCTTGCTTTTTGGAACTTACTGGAATCTTTTTTTTCCCAGAATATTTTCAATCTGTTATTGGTTGAATCTGTTATTATTCCCATATATCCAAAGCACCAACTATATATTTAACATTGCCAGGTGTACAGTAAGTACTACTTGAGATTTGACTAAATATATAAAATAAATCTTGTAGCTAGTATAGAAAACAGAATCAACATAAAGTTTCTAATATCCCTTTACTAATTGCTTCTTCCTAGGATGGTTAAATGTGCCTTAAGAAAAAACAGTTTTACAAAACTGAGAAGCAGGGGCCGGCACTGTAGGATAGTGGGCTAAGCCTCCACCTGAGGCACCAGCATCCCATAAGGGCACCAGTTCGTGTCCCAGTTGCTCCCCTTCCCATCTAGCTCTCTGCTATGGCCTGGGAAAGCAGTGAAATATGGCCCAAGTGCTTGGGCCCCTGTACCCGCATGGAAGTCCCGGAGGAAGCTCCTGTTTCCTGGCTTTGGATTGGCACAGCTCTTGCCATGTAGCTACTTGGGAAGTGAACCAGCAGATGGAAGACCTTTCTCTCTCTCTCTCCCTCTCTCTGTCTGTAACTCTACTCTATAAATAAATAAATCTTAAAAAAAGAGAGAAATAACCAGGCATCCTTATTAAGAAGATAATATCAGGACACACAGAACCATATAGAGGTGGACAGAACAAGACTCAAGGAGTAAAAACCAACTTCAACACATGCAAGAATCCAGGTTATAGGCTATACCCCACGTCCCAAGATAAGCACTTAAAATTACCGAAATCTGAGACAATTGGCTTCTTCATCATTTGCCACACACAAAATATCAGCAAAAGATGGAACCCTAGGTCCACCATTATCAGGGTCTACAGAGTTCAAGAGCGGGATCAACTAAAGTAAAAAAAAATAAATTAAGTCAGAGCTCTGCAAGGAGTCGAGAGAAGTCACATGCTCATGCATTAAATAAGGTCACAGTGCAAAGGAGGGAAGAGGGAGAAGGATATTGAGTAGAAAACCATGCACCCATTAGCCAGAGTATCGGGCAAAATGTTATTCTGCAGCCAAGCATATAGCAATATTCTCTCCCCTGGCTACTCTCCTCAATCATAAACACACAATAAACTCCTGAGGTGTTACTCACACCTGCCCATCTCTGAATGCAGTTATTTAAAGAAACTAAAGCTATAAAAAACACACATGCAGTGACTTATTTCCAGAAGTAAAGGGTTTTGGCTTGCAGGAAACATTTCTTCTAGATTATTCTATCCCGTATCCCTAGGAGTATGAAGGATTATATTATACAGAGTGCTTAATCAATGCACGTCCATTGACTTACCTCAAAATTGGGTCTTTGACAAGGTTCTAAAGGAAGCATTTTCCCAATAATACGAACAATACTCCGAGCTGATCCATAATCTTTATTTTTCCAAATCACTGAAATCTATTTAAACATAAAGCACTATTTAAAATATACTGAATATGCATGGTCATACATCTCAGAAAAAATGTAAACTATGCAGTAACATTTATTTTTAAAAAGAAAACACAGAATGGTATAAAGTATCCTCCTCAAATAATTAAATTTTATTAACATTTGTCTTAAAAAAAAGGGGGGGGGGTATAGATAGGGGCTGGCATGGTGGCATAGCAGGTAAAGCCACTGCCTACCATACTGGCATCCCATATGGACACCAGTTCGGGTCCTGGCTGCTCCACTTCTGAACAGCTCCCTGCTAATGCACCTGGGAAAGGAGTGGAAGATGGCCCACGTCTGCACCCACAAGGGAGACCCAGATGAAGCTCCTGGCTTCAGCCTGGCCCAGCCTCAGCTGTTGCAGTCATTTGGGGCAGGAACCAGCAGATGGAAGATCTTTCTATCTCTCCCTCTTCTCTGTACCTCTACCTTTCAAATAAATAAAGTAAATCTTAAAAAAAAAAAAAAAAAAAAAAAAAAAAGCAGTGGAAGATGGCCCTGACACCCACACTGGAGACCTGGGAGAGGCTCCTGGCTCCTGGCTCCTGGCTTTGGCCTGACCCAGCCCTGGCTGTTGCAGCCATCTGGGAAGTGAACCAGTGGATGGAAGACCTCTCTGAAACTGTTTCAAATAAATAAAATAAATATTAAAAAGAAAATTTTAAAAGGAATTGGAATGAACATATAAAATTCCAAAAAAGATCTTTCATGATAGCACAACTTGTTTTGTTCTATCTCTGATAATATCTAAACAGCTTGGGAAACTTCCCCCCACCTCAGGAAAATCACCCCCACACACACTAAAAATCCCATGTTTTAGCCCAAACACTGGCAATTTCAAATTATCTAGCAATGAGGTAATACAGAGAAAACTTATATAATCTCCTTTAAAGAACAAATGAATAAGAGGAATAAATAGAATCCTAGGCAACTGAAAAAATTATTTACATACAGTGGAATATTATCTGCTGGAAGCCAGTTCTTGAAAACGTGTTAAAAGTGAAATGTGGGGGCTGGCATGTGGTACATTGTGACTCTCGCATCCCACATTAGCACCAATTCAATGGTGCTAACCTGGCTGCTCCACTTCCGATTCAGCTTCCTGCTAATGGGTCTGGGAAAGCAGAAGATAGCCCAAAGAACTGAGCCTTCGCACCCAGGAGGGAGACCTGGAAGAAGCTCCTAGCTTCTGACTTTGGCTTGGCCCAGCCCCAACCACTGCAGCCATAACATATCTATTCCACGCATTCCACATCTGTTCTGAAATTACCCCTTTGAGGTTCTCTGCTACTTGGCCCTATCTATCCAACTTAATTTCTTACTTGTCATTAACAAGAACACTTGTTCTTAGGTTAAGCTCTTTTCCTCATTATCCCAAAAAGGAGATAACTCCCATGCATTTTCCCAAATGCATAGTGAGCCCTAATCTAACTGTAGTGCCAGTGCTGGTTTAGTGGACTATCCAATTCACACTCCTCTATTTCCATTCTTATCAGCTGCTTAAGCTCTACTAAGTTGTAAACTAGTCTGATAAGTACCACATACAGCCAACTACATGTGGCTGTATTTCCGTGGAAGCTATTTCTGCCCTACTACACTGAATTCTGAGGACAGAGACAGGATTATATTTTTGTTTGAACCCTTCAGGGCAGTAGTTAACCATCAGTATACTAATATCACATCAGATCTCTCCAAAAGAAATATAACATATGTCATATGTAAATTAAATTTTGAAGTCATTTTAAAAAAGAAAGGTAAAAGTTTCTTACTATATTTTATTTAACTTGATATGTATATATTATTTTAACATGCACTCAATATTTAATCCTTTGTATATTTGTAACTATAGCAGATTGCAATTCAGACATCTGAAGTACTTAAAAGTGGTTTTGAGGCCAGAAGCTGCCATATTGGATAGTATAGTCAAGTGTTCATAGATTCTAGATCTATTAACACTAGAATCTTTGGAGACCTGAGCATTTATATTTAATGGGTTTTACAGACCATTCGTATGTGTACCTCTGCTAAGAACCACAGGCCTACAGGCATCACTATAGTAAGGGCTATGCTCTGTACAGTGTCTCCCAACTGTTGGGTACCTATGTTGTAATTTCATATCTTGCTCTGCCACTTTGATGTTGAAAAACTCATTCATTGCCACAGACCATCTTCATCATTCTTAAAATTTCACCTCCTTTTCCTCTGTTCCTGGCCCAGCCACTTCTTTTTGATTTACCAATTTTGCTAGCTCACATGGACTTTCTGGTTAATTATTTCATTGATATGCTCATTGCCATTCAAAAACAGGTCATTGTTTTGGTATTATGTGTTACCATCTTGTGGATGAAGAAACTAGCCCAACTACTTTTAGCTAAAGGAAAACACAATAAAAAAAATAAAGCTCTTTAGAAAAACTACAGGGGGCCAGTACTGTGGTCTAGCAGGTAAAGCCATCGCCTGCAGTGCCAGCAACCAGTTCCAGTCCCGGCTGCTCCACTTCTGATCCAGCTCTCTGCTATGGCCTGGGAAAGCAGAAGAAGATGGTCCACGTCCTTGGACCCCTGCACCCGCATGGGAGACCCGGAAGCAGCTCCTGGCTCCTGGCTTGAGGTCAGCACAGCTGCGGCTGTTGCAGCCATCTGGGGAGTGACCCAGCAGCTGGAAGACCTTTTTCTCTCTCTGTGCCTCTCCCTCTCTGTAACTCTGCCTCTTAGATAAAGAAATAAATCTTTAAAGAAAAAACTACAAATCCATGCTGACTTCCCCTGGGTCCTCACAGGCACTCTGCAATGTCCTCTAACAGGTTACACTCTGCAGTACGTGGCCACACGAAACCCTCAACCTCTGAAGTCTCCAGCACCCCACTTCCATCACCACGTCTCCATTTTCCTTCCTTTGTATCTCCTGTTGACATTTAACCTATCAGGGAAACAGGTTCTTAAGAATCTTACCTCCCTTTCTAACTTGAACTATCAAAGCCATACTATTGTAAACTCCCCTTTGTTCTCATCTAAAGAGAAATAACAACTTTGCCTTAAATGTTTACATATAAATCGTTTTCAAAATGAGACCCACAAACAGCAGATTCACTCAAAACCATGAAAAGACATTTACCTGGTCTATGGGAACACCAAAATATTCCAGCATCTCTCTTAAGACACGCAATATGAGAGACATGGATGGCGTGAATAGTGAGGCAAATTCATGGAAACATTATCAGTGTCTTGGTGCCTTTGGGAAAAAATTTTAGAATACATTACTCTTGACAAGTAATTACCACATACGTTCGTACTAAATAAGCTGGAAGTACCCTTTCATGACACACCACATCACACCACTACCTGTATACTGAAGGTAGCCAAAGAGAATGGAGGAGAGACAAGGGAAGAGGGGAATATTATTATAAAGAAAAGGTCGAGACTTGTGCTGTGGCACAGGTTAATCCTCCACCTGCAGTGCTAGCATCCCATACGGGTGCCAGTTTGAGTCCCGGTTGCTCCTTTTCCAGTCCAGCTCTCTGCTGTGGCCCGGAAAGGCAGTGGAGGATGGCCCAAGTGCTTGGGCCCTGCACCCATGTGGGAGACCCAGAGGAAGCTCCTGGCTCCTGGCTTCGGATTGGCCCAGCTCTGATCAGTACAGCCATTTGGGAAGTGAACCAGAGGATGCAAGACCTTTCTCTCTGTCTGTAACTCTGCCTCTCAAATAAATAAATAAAATCTTTTTTTTTTTTTATTTGACAGGTAGAGTTATAGACAGTGAGAGAGGGAGACAGAGAAAGGTCTTTCTTCTGTTGGTTCACCCCGCAAATGGCCGCTACGGCCGGCGCTGCACCGATCCAAAGCCAGGAGCCAGGTGCTTCCTCCTGGTCTCCCATGCGGGTGCAGGGCCCAAGCACTTGGGCCATCTTTCACTGCCTTCCCAGGCCACAGCAGAGAGCTGGACTGGAAGAGGAGCAACCGGGAGTAGAACCCGGCGCCCATATGGGATGCCGGCGCCGCTGCTGGAGGATTAACCAAGTGAGCCACAGCGCCGGCCCAATAAATCTTAAAAAAAAAAAAAAAAAAAAAGTCAACCGACCTATTGTTACATTAAAATTTCATAGGACATTTGAGACAATAAATGGGTCTAGTTAACAGATATTAATCAACAACAGAATGGACACCTAGCAAGGGAGGCTTCAAGTTTGCAACAGCGAAGCTCGCTTGGGCTGCGACTCAGGAGAAGGCTCAGTTCAGACGACCCCTGAGAGCAGCAAAGGGCCTGACTCAAAGCTTTGCCCTCTCTGTAACTCTGCCTCTCAAATAAATAAACAAAATCTTAAAAAAAAAAAAAAAAAAAAAAAAAAGCTTTGCCAACAGTTTTGTTTGTTTGTTTGTTTGTTTTTTTAATCGCATCGGAGTACCGCCCACCCCTGCTCGCTCATTTTAAAGATAAGATGCACGACCCCTAGTTAAGGGATGTGACTGTCACCAGCTAGTAAGTAACGGGCTGCGACCAGAGCCCAGTCGGGTCACTCGCTCTGGCCACACCTTGGGGGCGGGGGAGGGGTCTCCAAGCCCCGCAGGGCAGCACTGCTCACCTTCCCCGGAGCCGAGCCTCCCGCGAGCTGGGGAAGGTCAAGCAGAGGGGCGTTGTGGAAGTCCGACTCAGAATCCGCGACCCCAGCACAACGCGCGGCTCCCTCCAGAAGCGCTCAGCTGTCGACCGGCGTCCGCCTGCGAGCCTCGGCTTGCAGGGCACAGGGAGTAAGGTTGCCTCCGCGGAGAGTATGCGGCCCACTGGCGACTCGGTCCCACAGCGCCCGCATCAACCGGGATAGCTTTGGGAGAGAAAGGACGTCCTCGCCCGACCTGCTAACCTGCCGCCCGCTCCCAGGATGGCCCCGTACTTCCGCGTTCCTGGAGGAAAATCAAACTCCGCGGGCCGTAACCCATGCCCGATCTCATTGGACAGGCATAAGATCGCTGCTTCTGATTGGTCATTGGACAACGTCAGACTAGTCGCGGCACTAGAACAGGCCTCAGAAGGCTAATGAGTTTCTCCCAAGAGGGCGGGTTTTCCACAAAGCAGCCAATAGAAGCCAAGAGATGGCTGGTGGGCGGGACAGTATGCGGCGGTGGGGACGCTGACTCCTGCGCAGGATGCGGCGGTTCGCTTGCAAGCGCTCCCAGGCCTCTGCGTGGAGAGCAGGGCCCGCCGTTCCGAGTTCGCACCGCACACAGCTCTGCACGCACTGTATCGCCCCCTACATCCGACCCGAAGTGACCCCGTGCTCCCAAACTTCACTGCCTTGGCAGGTCGCGATTTATTTTTCGGTCGTTCAGCGAACATCTTCTAATCGCTGGTAGGACGCGGAAGCTAAGCGGTGCCCTGGAGAGGTTTGCAGCTTTGCAGTTGTCAGGATTCATTCCTTGCGTCCTGGTTACCCAGGCTGCTGCATGTGGGCCAGACACTCCCCTAGTCTAATTTTCAGTTCTGACTGGTTAATGGTTTCATAAGACACAATTTCATATTCCTGTATTTCAGCGAAGAGGTGCATTGGCATACCATTGCCAGTTTAATGCCTTCTACTGAGCCACAAAATAAAAGGTAGACTGACTTCTTTGTGATCAACCTCGTTTATTCATTCAACGAGTGTTGGACTACTAGAACTAGGGATTATCCTACGCACGTCAAAAAAGCAGTACGGGCATGCATTTGGCCTTACCATTAAGACAGAGCTTGGCATGCCCACACCCCAATTGGTTTACTTCATTTTCTGACTCCTGTTCAACTTCATACTTTCAGTAATTTTCTCCGCAGTGTGGGGCCATTCCTAGCAGGGAACCTGCACCAGTGCTTTTGAGTTCACGGGGGTAATCTCTTCTAAACGCTCTAGTCCTCACTTTGGATACCTTGTACTCTACCGAAAAGGACAAAACTCCAAATTTCATCTTTTTCCCCATGACTCTTCCTCTCTTAGGTCAACTACTACGCCATTTCTTCCTTCCCCCCCTCATAGAAACCAACAGCAGGCTGCTCGGTAACTTGTCTCTAACGGCTGATATTTAGGGGCTTGTGGAAAACAGCTTATCGAGTTTACTGCAAATGCTGTCTACAGGTTTTTAGTTTTACGATCTTGCTGCCAGTATTTTTCCAGAACCACTAGAAATGTATTTCTGAAACCTAGTTAATAAGGATGCTTCAAAAGATCTTTGAAAAACAGAATTAGAAAATAAATTTTTCAAAAATTTAAAAGACTGAGTTATGGGGATGGGTGGATCTTCCATCCACTGGTCCACTCCCCAAATGGCCACAACAGCTAAGGCCAGGCCAGGTCAAAGCCAGGATTCAGAAGATTCTTCCAGTTCTCCCAAATGCGTGGCAAGAGCCCAAGTACTTGAGCCATCTTCTGCTGCTTTCCTAGGTGCACTAGCAGGGAGCTGGATCAGAATTGGAGCAGGCAGGACTCAAACCGGTGCCCATATGGCATGCCACTGTCACAGGAAGCAGCTTGCCCTGCTATGCCATAGCGCCAGCTATTCTCTTCAAGTACCTTCATATACTACATTCCAGACCCCCAAGTTCAGAAGTGTTCTATTCAGCTCGGTACACCATAATGCCAGATAGTTTTTCAATGGAGGATAAGGACTGCTTTGGACAAAGGCTACAAACATGTGTTCTGCAAGTTGCCCTTTACCTCTCTGACCCTAAATCTAGGTGAACTCAAATTACTATATTGTGATGAGGAAGGATTTAACATTCTCCCAAAGCAAGCAATAGCCTCTCCAACTGAACAATGCGCTTCTCTCATGCAAGATGATCAAATTGGGATGCACATGACCAGAAAGTTCACTTTAAGTTTTTACATTTCAAAAATAAACATGTGCCTCTTCCCTTCTGCCCTGCCTACATATGAACCTATATACTAAACAATCTGCCAATTACAGCTTTTAAAATTAGACCTTTTTGAGAACTTCCTTATAACTTTACATTTATTCAAAAATTTGAGACTATTCTCAATGTTAAGGTATTTAAATTTAAATTATCCTTAAAATCTCTACTTTTCAGTGCGATAGTAAGATTTAGTGGACGCACTACCTATACATTTATAGCTACTATGTATCCATAAATTGCTACTCATAGTGATGAATATTAATTTCAAATGTTTAAATCCTAACAGGATTGTTAAATCCTAAGGATTGTTTTGAACCTTAGAAATATCCAGATGATACTTAGTATTTAAACCCAAAGGCTTTTATGTGTCTACAGCTACATAGTATTTTTGAACAAAAATATTTTGCTACAGCTAAACCACCCTAAAAGTATAAAGGTGAAATGCCACTTGATTTTTCTGGTCCTATTATTATATAATTATTATATTATATATATATATTATATATTATATAATTATTATATATAATTTTTACTTTACTTATTTGAAGGGCAAGAGATAGAAATTTCTTCCATCTGCTGGTTCATTCCCCAAATGGCCACATCATCCAGACTGGGCTGATCCAAAGCCAAGAGCTTCTTCTGGGTTTCTCTCTTCGCTGCAGGGGCCCAAGGACTTGGACCATCTTCTGCTGCTTTCCCAGGCCATTAGCAGGGAGCTGGACTGCAAGTGGAACAGCCAGGACTCGAACTGGTGCACATATGGGATGTTGACCCTGCGGTGGCAGCTTTACCCACTATGCCACGACACCGGTCCCTGGTCCTATTATTCTTAATTTTTCATTGATTCTGCAATCTGCTTTTCTGATATATTCATGTTTATAAGTAGTGATACCTTAACTCATCAATCAAAATTTGATGAAAACCTGAATCATAGAAAAAAGTATTAGGATATCTTTCCAGGTTTGTTTCACATGCTATTTGTGAGGCAGAGAGTGAAAGACACAGTAAGCTCCTATCCACTGGTTCACTCTCCAGATACAACAGCCAAGACCAGCGCTGGCCGCGGCCGCCACTGGAGGGTGAACCAACAGCAAAGGAAGACCTTTCTCTGTCTCTCACTGTCCATTCTGCCTGTCAAAAAAAAGTTCAGCATCATGTAGCACAGCTTTTCTGAGACGCTATGAAGAATCTGCAAGGCTCTACAAAAACATGTTGCTATTCACATTGCCTATTCTACTTTTAAAATTTACTTGTCAAGTATCAGCTTACTGTGTTGAGCTAATTAAAGTCTATGTACCTATGATTTTTACCTACTTTGTTTCTGTTCTCCAACAATGGCATATGCTAAAATGAGGAGGGTGGACAAGGTCCTATATGACTTGTATTTGACTACTTTTTCTTCTCTGGAAATTTCCCTTTAATTATTTGAAGACTGCTATTAGAATCTATCTCAGTAACGATCTTTTACTGTTAACTTACCTTGTCCAACTATTTACATCACACTATTTCAGATTAGACCTCAAACTCTTAGTTAGATCTCTGTCCTTTAAATATATCCTGTGTTTTCCCTTAAAACATGGCTGGAGAGCACATTTGGCACAGAAGCTAATTAAAATGCATTTGGGAGGACCATATCCCCCGTTGGACTGCCACTGGAAGTTCCAGCACTGTTCCTAATTCCAGTTAATGCATAACACTGGGAGGCAATAGGATCAAGTATTTGGGTCTCTCCTCCATCCACATTGGGGACTGGACTGATTTCCTAACTTCTACCTGGCCCACCCAGCCCTGGTGATGCAGGCTCTTCGGAAGTGAACTAGTGGATGTCCGGAGATCTCTGCCTTTGAAATAAAAATTTTAAAAACCAGAGGCCAGAGTTGTGGCACAATGGGTTAAGCCCCACTACTTCCAACACTGTCATGCCATACCAGAGTGCCAGTTGGAGTCCCAGGAGCTTAACTTCCAACTTAGCCCCCTACTAATACACGTAGGAAAGCAGATGACTAAAGTGCTTGGGCCCCAGCCACCCATGTGGGAGACCTGCATGCAGTTCCAGGCTCATGGCTTCAGCTGGCCCAGCCCCAGCTGTTACAGCCATCTGAGGAGTAAATCAGCAGAGAGAAGATCTGTCACTTGCCCTTTCAAATATTCTTAAATATATGTATATACTGTTAAATCAAACATAGTATACCCAAACAACTCACAGCAGTAACTTGTGCAATTATCAGTCTTTCTATTCATGGCAATCTGTATTTTATTTTCTCCTCTTCGCATTTTTCTGGCAAAGCATGACACAAGTGGAATGCGTTCCTAGCCTAAAACAATGTGCTGCATTCAAAAGCACCAGTACAAATAGAAATCTGGAATGTTTCTGTTAGGGTGTAAGATTTCAAGATAGTGAATGAGGAACAGGAAAAAGAAAAAGGCTAAATACAGCTATAAGGAATTCCTATGGTTCATCACAACTAAAGTTCAGGCAATGGCAAGACATTCAGGGTTTGTTAAACTTTAAAATGAAGTTATATATCTTGAGTACTAAATAATCCTGTTTTGTGATTTATCCCCAATTATTTGTAGCCTAATTCATTCAAAAGAGATTAGGGTAAAAGGTCTAAATATATTATCAAAAATAAAAATGAGAAAAGAACATATAAGGCCTTTTCTTTTCACTGCTCCAGTGCTTAGTTCACAGACTTAAAATGTTACACTAATGAAAGATAGAACTTAAAAGTTACAAGAAATACTTATATAGTATTTAGAAATATGTATCCCAACCCAATTCCTTAGCTAGATATTCCTAATAGCAGGAGCAATACTGTTTTCAGGTCAGACTGTTTTTGAGGCCTCTGACAACTGTGATAGCCTGCATTATGCCCTCAGTCTGTAGAAAAAACTTTACAAGAAACAGTCATTTGAGACACTGGATTCTAGAAATACTGCTAACATAATTCACATCTTAATGAAAACCTAGAAGAAACATGTCTTTTGAGTTTTGGGATCAAGAATAGTTATGCAGGCAAGACATTTGGTCTAATAGTTATGTTGCTGATGAGAATACCAGTGTCCCACATCATGAGTACTTGTGTTCTATCTCCTGCTCCTGAAACCATCTTCCTGCTAATGCATACCCTGAGAGGCACTGGTATTCTGGTATTTCTGCCACACACAAGGGAGACTTGGAATGGATTCTTGGCTTTGACCCAGCCCAACCCTAGCCATTATGAGCATCTTGGGAATAAAGCAGCATATGGGAGTTCTGCTTCTCAAATATTTTTTAAAGAAAAGCAATCAATATTATCTGCATTTTAAATGTGCTACAAATAAGTTTACTGCTGTAAAAGACCTAAAATGTCCATAGAAAAATATTTTTCCTATTGTAATTGACACGTTATGTATTTTTTATGACACATTATGCAACTTTCTTAATAGTAGTGTAGTAAAGTACTGTCTCAATGACTTTTTTCAAAGGCATAATCTGTTAATAATATATTCAGAATTAGCACCCCTAATTAAATGTGCAGTCCTGGATTCATGGTAAGTGATACACACTAATCATTACTGTGTTTCTGAAACATGAGGAGATCAGCATAATCTCTAAGGCTTTCCAGTCAGATGATGGAATGTACCAACGAACTTCCATGTATTTCTGGGTTCAGAAAAAATTAGTGAAAACCTGTTCTTTCAGAATCTCCTTCAATAAAATGAACAATTAGACTTCTGAAATGCAAACTTAACAATAAAGGTTCTATTTGAGAACCTTAAACATATAAGACAGGTATTACTCTAATTTTGTTAAAATTATATATTAATATAATATGTAATACTAAAAGAGAATCCCATGATACTTAAGTTTTTCTCCATCTGTCTTCCCTTAGCAACCTCATAAACAGAACTAGGCCTTTGTACTTCTCTCTCTGAATATCAAAGGATACTGTTCCATATGAAAACCTAAGTTATCTTTATATCCCAGGGCATTTCAGTTGAAACTCAGAGAAAAATAAAAGTTGCATAAATGTCACTAATTAACAAAAGTAGTATACTTTTATATGGGAAACTTGTATATAACATTAACATTACCCAGCATAGCTAAGCTACCAATGATCTTACACATCCTTTTATATACACACACACACACACACACACACACACACACACACACACACACACAATCTTAGTTCTCCAGCAAAGTTTTAAGGGATAATTTGCCAATTCATATGAGTCAAAACGTGTCAATTTGACTTAGCACATAAATTTCCATGAAAATGTTTTCTTTAAAAGTTGAAAATGGTATAATGTGTGTTTCAAGTGATTTAAAAGAGTGTGGTATAGAAATATAGATCTCACTCCAAGTGAATAAAGACTAAGGTAAAAATTTACAACATTTAGTTATTAACTAGTCACTTTATTTTTAGAAAAAGAAGTAATTTCCAGCCTAGGATTATGACTGACAAAGTGCCATATTAAAACAAGAAGAGGAGACTACACTAAAAATCTAGAATACCTGCATTTTCTTAATAATGGCTTAGCAACTTATCAACCTGTAAAAGTTCCCATTTTCCCCAGGGAAGCAACAGAAATCACTAAAGAGAGGTTGAGGAATTTTATCAAGTATTTATGAAGCCACACCATACTGGTTTCCTTACAGATGAGCTGATATTCTAAATTCTATAAATGGGCCATGGAAATCAGTTGAGAAGAGACATAGGAATATGTCACAATCAGGTAAACAAACAACAGCTATACCACTTATGACATTTTATTGGCATATGACAATTTACAAGGGTCCCTGTTAAATTATACATTACACTGAGTAAGAATCGTTTAGCCATCTACATTCATTCTTAATGGGTGATACTTTCTTCCTCAAATTATAATTTAATTGCCAACACTGATTTTAACTGTGACAGAGGGAACAATAGCAATTCCTTGAAATAGACTGCAATTGGAAAAACATACTTTGCTTTTTGTATTAAAATTCCTAGGATGTTGAGAATACACACGTAAGAATTGAGTCATGGCCATCTTAAACAGCTTTCTTAATCCTTTACGGAAAATATCCTTTGGTTCATTTTTACTTCCCTTCTCTGGGCAAAAGGAAATCTATCAATGCAGGTATCAGAGTTATATCCTGGCACTTGTAAACAAATGTGTTTGTCAGGAGAACCATTCAGCTTTTGTAGCATGTCATAATGTGTGGAGTTAAACTGTGGTTTTAAAAAATACATACAGACTACTTTTTATTTGTTTGGTTCTGAGAAACTTAACATTCATAATGCATTCTATAACAGAGTTCTCAACAACCACCCTGCCTCACTACATTTTGGTATGATATTCTTTCTTCCATTTTAAGAGAATTAATAGTAACCAAAGGTTAAAGCAATGCACTTACACTTAAAATATAAGATCAAAGTAACTTCATTCCCAACTCCCTATTAAGTAATTTATAAGCAAATCTCTCTTTTCCTATTGTCTTAAATGGAAAACGTTCCTATTGTCTTAAATGGAAAACGAAGAACTGCACATTATGATCATGCATACAGATGCAGTGTCTAATCAAATAATATCTGTAAAAAGCTATGTTTATTTGTATAAATAAAATGGTAATGAAAATTCTTTTTTGGGGTATTAAATACATCTTGCTTTAACAAATAAGTATTAATTCTGAATAGGAGAATATTAGTTATGTCCTGATTAATGCAACACATACTTTCTTTGGCAGGTATTTTCTTGGCTTTAATCAACAATTTTAGAAACATAAAATTAATGGGGGAAATCATGCAATAGGACTCTTAATCCATAAATATCACATATACTGAATTTGGTTTTAGATTAGTTTCCAATAACTCTTAGCAAATGTTCCTGGCTGTAATCAAGATGCTAGAGACATATTCATAGATGAAAGAGTCATATGCTTAAAGATCTTTAAAAGTTCACATCAACAGAATAAGCATTATCTTTTTTAAATGCAAACATATACAACTAATTCAGCTGCTGAATTATCAAATGAAATGTAGGTTAGTTTATGTATTTTCATAAAAAAAGACAACAGTGAATTTTATAGCTCAAATTTTCATTCCTTTAACAGCCATCAAAATAAACATAAGATAATTCACATTTGAAAGATTATCTACCTGACAAATAGAACCTTTGGGAAGACACAGAAAAAAGCCAATTTACAAACTGCAACTGAAACAGGGAAAAAAAATAAAAACTAAGTTAAGCCTGCAACAAGCTTCCTACCAAAACTTTTTTTGGTAAAACTTTAAAAAAAATTACTTCAAATATTACTAAAGAACTATCGGTTGTCTATTTTTTCTCATGGATGCGCTACAAAAACCAACGTGTCAGCTGTCCAAAAGGTCAAATAAATATAGAAGATATGAAATCATATGCTAATTTGTCAAATTATTCTGAAGGATAATACTCCATACCAACACCAGGATTATAGGTTTTGCTCTGTTCATTAATACTATGATGTTCAGTTGTGCTGGAAATTTTATTTGCAGTATTATTACAAATCAGTTTCCTTTCTCAAATAGCTGACATCCAAGACCATGACTCAAACTATCAAGAACAAATAAAGAGAACACTGACTTTTGAACCCAAATAGAAAAGGCTCCTAAAAATGTTTTTATAGGCCACTGCTTGCTTTCAGTAAAAATAACATTTTTCAAACTTTTCAATCTAATTTTTACTAACCTGTACTTTTTAGCTATTGGCAAAGCTTTTTTCCCCACTTAAACATTTGCTGAAGTGTTAAAATAGTTTATCAAAGTAACAACTTTTTTCTGTGGTATACTTCAAAATCAGTCACCCTACAATGTAGTGTGTTCAAATAAAGGAAGATGTTAAACAGATGGATATAGTTAAAATAATTAGTGTGGTCTCTATAAACAATTTCTTCAGGGATTTGTATGTAGCGCTAACGTTTACTTCAGAATAAAACATTAACAAACAGGGAGGGAAGAGAATCAGAACTTTCACAGAGTTGTACTTGACCATATCTTATAGACAAAGCAGTTACAATGCATGTAACAAAAACAGTAAAAGTTTGTTTTAAAAGTTGATAGTTACAAATATGGTACGTAACAATTTTCTACTTTATTTCAGTACAATTTTCAACATACAGTCTACTATTTTTCAAGATATTTGAAGACTTAAAACAAAATTTCTACAGACTACTTGCAAACAGTAAAATTTAAGTAAAATGCTTACATTCTTATTTGAAAACAAAACTCAGGTAAAAAAAAAATGGCGGGTGCAAGGTCTGCTCTCTGTTGCAATCTTACTTCAGATTTACTATTCCTAAAAAAAAAAAAAGAAAAGAAAAATTAAAGATTAATAAACATGTGGAAGTAAATGAACCATAATCAGTTTCCAAAAATGAATTCACCCACCAAACCCATACAAAGAAAGCTGTTAGAATCATAACAAGTTGAAATTTTCTACCTTTTCTTCCTTGCGTCTGTCCTTCTTTTCTTCATTATTTTCTAGGGTCTCTTCTTCATCTTCAACAATCCCATCCCCTTGGTATTTGTCATGAGTCCATTTTGGACTGCTACCTGATTTTTTGAAGTTAAAGCGCCCTCTGCCACGTTGAAAAGTACCACGACCTCTTCCTCTTTTGGCCCAATAATCCACACCATCATCTCTGTCATCATGCTACAGAAAGGTTAAAAACAATCATCAATGAAGTGTCTTGTAAAGAAAATCATTGTTTCTCCAAATCTAAGTCATGGCATTAATCTTCAAGACTGGGTATAAGACTGGTAATGTTATAAAACATAACAAAAGAAAATCAATAAAACTGAACTTGACAACAAAAAATATTCCATTGTCAGAATACTTACAACTTACTACTTAGTAAACCATGCACTGACGGTCTCAACTGCTAAATTATCCATTTTCAGAATTTAACTTTTTACTTTCAACTAATTTCAATCTGAGTCCACTTGTTATTATGCTGTATTGAGTAAGCTCAAATAACCATTTTTTCCCAACAAAATTACCTTAGTCATAGATATGTTAAAAAGCCATAAAATATCATTATAATATTGTAACATTCCCTAAATAAAATAGGTGGCAAGAACTGTATTTTACATGCAGATTTTAGCATTCTATTGAGATTTAAATCTAGATCAACATATAATATACATCAATCTTCTAGGCTAGGGAACTTCAATGACAAATCACAGTGGCACAGTCCCTATGTAATACCTCAGCTCTTCACCAACCTGAATTACAATAGTTATCATAGTCTAACCTTACTTTTTAAAATCTAACTGTTCTATTAAATAAAGTACAATATTGAAAAGTACTTGATTTTGTAGATAAGGAGTAGCACACTCCAAAAAAACAAAAGGTCAAAAGCATCCTGCATATTAATTACCTGCTGTCCACCTAAAATTAACTCAAATATTTGTAACCCACAAAATGGGAAATAAGATAATGCTGCTTTTACAAGAAAACAAATATAACACAAACAGAACACAGTATAACCTATGCAGTATTAGTATTCACCAACTATCCAAAGAACACTGACACTTTTTTTTAAAAATGTGACAAGTACTGTTTTCCCAAACATAGGATACTTTTTTGCATATTTAATATAGATTACCAGCCGGCACCGTGGCTCAATAGGCTAATCCTCCACCTTGCGGCGCCGGCACACCGGGTTCTAGTCCCGGTTGGGGCGCCGGATTCTGTCCCGGTTGCCCCTCTTCCAGGCCAGCTCTCTGCTATGGCCAGGGAGTGCAGTGGAGGATGGCCCAGGTGCTTGGGCCCTGCACCCCATGGGAGACCAGGAAAAAGCACCTGGATCCTGGCTCCTGCCATCGGATCAGCGCGGTGCGCCGGCTGCAGCGGCGGCCATTGGAGGGTGAACCAACGGCAAAAGGAAGACCTTTCCCTCTCTGTCTCTCTCTCTCACTGTCCACTCTGCCTGTCAAAAAAAAAAAAAAATATATATATATATATATATATATATATATATATAATTACCTTCCTAGTGACTTAAAAAGGACAAATTATATAGTGGTTAACAGACTATATATGAAAGAGCACTTACCAATTGCTAACAATCTGTCTCTACCAAACCAAGAATTACTAGGGGTTGGGCTGGCACTGTGGTATAACAGGTTAAGCCAGTGCCTGCAAGGACGGCTTCCCACATGAACACTGGTTCGAGTCTCAGCTGCTCTACTTCTGATCCAACTCCCTGCTATTCCTGTCTGGGAAAACAGTGGAAGACTGCCCAGCTGCTTGGGCTCTTGTCACCCACATAGGAGACCCAAATGGAATTCCAGACTCTTGGTTTTGGCCTAGCTGAGCCTAGCTGTTGTGCTCATTTGGAGAGTAAACCAGTGGGTGGAAGATCGGATCTCTCTTTAACTGTCTTTCAAGTAAGTAAAAAAAAAAATTCCTAGGTTGGAAGTGTGCAGGACTCCATAGGAAGGAATTTTAAAACTATCAAAAGCATAAATTTAAATACATAAGAGTTCAATTGCAAACCCAAAATAAACTATTTTAAAGCAGTCTGGAATTCAAAATCATTCCTGCCTGCTCAACTGTATTTCATGTTCCTTAAAGGCATTCAAACACTCAACTCGGGGCCAAGTTGTGGCGTAGTGAAAGCCACTGCCTATAGTGCCGGCATCCCATATGGGCAACCAGTTCGAGTCCTGGTGCTCCACTTCCAATTCAGCTCTCTGCTATGCCTTGGGAAAGCAGAAGATGGCCCAAGTCCTTGGGCCCCTGCACCGACATGGGAGACTGGAGGAAGCTCCTAGCTTCAGATTGGCACAGCTCCAGCCAGTTGGGCCATCTAGGGAGTGAACCAGCGGATGGAAGATCTCTCTCCCTTTGCCTCTGTAACTCTGCCTTTCAAATAAATAAATAAATCCTAATAAAATAAATGGTGGCAATAACAGCAATGTTTCCAATAGTGCTTACTAAGTATAGGGCATTATTTTGTGCACTTTACTTGTATTTAGTCATCCAATCCTCACAATAACCCTGTAAAGTACTGCCACTATCGCCATCTTAGAAATTGAGACACAGAGAGATTAAGAGCCCTTATGAGCATCATCCACAGGATACATTTCTAGACATTCTGGTGACAGTAAATAATTACCACATCAGGCAGCTAAGAGACGAAACTTTAAAAGGCAGGGGCAAAGCTATGTGCTAGAGTTAAAACCAGCTGTTACTTTTACATATTCAAAAAAGTTTGTGGAAAATGGAATTAAAGATAAGCTTATTTTGAAGCGAAAAATTTTTCTGAGATCCACATTTGGTTTTTTTGTAATATACAGTTTCCATCAACTTTGTGGCTGGTTAACTATCCCAAATGGCTGCAATGGCTAGGGCTGTGCCAGGCCAAAGCCAGGAGCCTGGAACTTCTTTCTCGGTCTCCCATATGGGTACAGGACCCAAGCACTTGGGCCACCTTCCGATGCTTCTCAGGTAATTAGCAGGGAGCATTTCAGGCAGAGAAAGACAAGACATTGTGGGGGGAAAAAAAAGTCCTACACAAAGGATCTCCATGAGAGAGACTCCAGGGGGAAAAAGGGGCCATCAAAGAAGAATCTACCTTTCTCTGAAAGAAACAGAATTTCCACTTTGTTTATGGCCCTGTCAAAACACTGAGAGATTGTGGAATCAAAAGGCTTCCATAGCCTTGGCAGCTCATGTCAAGAGCCTCAGATGATCACTGCCGTCATACATAAGAGTGTTAATTATTAAATTAACAACAGTCACTGTGTACTTACTGCCCATGCAGGATCTCTGTCCTTAACGAGCTGTACTAAGAGAATTAATTGTAAAACTTGTTCTCAACCAGTCCTTTATACTTTTTGTGTGGCGGTGGGTGCAAACTGTTGAAATCTTTACTTAGTCGAGTTGGTCTTCTGTATATAAGGTTAATTAAAAACAAATCTTAATGAAGAATGGGATGGGGGCCGGTACTGTGGAACAGCGGGTTAACGCCCTGGCCTGGAGCGCTGGCATCCCATTTGAGTGCCAGTTTGAGACCTGGCTGCTCCACTTGCAATTCAGCTCTCTGCTATGGCCTGAGAAGGCAGTGGAAGATGGCCCAAGTGCTTGGGCCCCTACACCTAAGTGGAAAACATAGAAGAAGCTCCTGGCTCCTGCCTTCAGATCGGCACAGCTCTGGCCATTGCGGCCAATTGGGGAGTGAGCCAGCAGATGGAAAACCCCTCTCCCCTCTCCCTCTCTGTGTAACTCTTTCAAATAAATAAATCTTTAAAAAAAAAAAAAAAATGAAGAATGGGATGGGAGAGGGAGGAGGTGGATGGACATGGCGGTGGGAGGGTGGACATGGCAGGAAAGAATCACAACATTTCTAAAGTTGAATATATGAAATTAGTATTCAATCAATAAAAAAATGGAGCAGCTGGGGGGGTCAGTGCTGTGCCGCTGCCTGCAGTGCTGGCATCCCATATGGGCACCAGTTCGAGTGCTCCATTTCTGATCCAGCTGTTATGGACTGGAAAAGCAGAAGATGGCCCAAGTCCTTGGGCCCTCTGCACCCACACAGGAGACCTGGAAGAAGCTCCAGGCTCCTGGCTTTGGATCAGTGCAGCTCCGGACGTTGTGGCCATTTGTAGAGTGAATCAGTGGACGGTAGACCTCTCCCTCTACCTCTGTCTCTCTGTAACTCTGCCTTTCAAACAAATAAATAGAATCTTAAAAAATAGTAAGTGGAGCAGCCAGGACTCAAACTAGTGCCCTTACAGGATGGCAGTGCTGCAGGTGGCAGCTAAACCTGCTACACCCTAACACCAGCCCCTCCATAAACTTTTTGAGGCAAGATCCCTCATACAGTTATCTGAAACTTAGTACAGAAAATGGCCGGGGCCAGCATTGTGGCCATAAAGCTGATGCAGGCACCCCAAACAGGCACTAGTTTGAGTCCTGGGTGCTATACTTGTGATCCAGCTCCCTGCTCATGCCCCTGGAAAAGCAGAGGAAAATGGCCCAAATCTTAAGAACTCTGCCACCCATGTAGGAGACCTAGAATAAGCTCCTGGATTCAGCTTGGCCCAGTCCTAGCTGTTGCAGCCATTTGAGGAGTGAACCAGCTGACTGAAGATCTCCTACCTCCCCAACTCTGCCTTTCAAATAAATAAATTAAAAATTTTATAACAAGAAAACAGCATGCAAGAGATTAAACTATGTCTTTCAGAGGTATCCTGGCAGCCACTTAAGTGAAATTTTTGATGCTACACATACTGTTAATATCCACATTTTTACATCTAATTTTCTACCTCAATTTTAGAGCTATTTCACAGATGATAAAGGGCCATAAGTTATAGTATTCTATACAGCCAAAATCATGTTTACAAAGCAATCTATACTGGAATCAAGATTTTCTGAATCATTCCTCATCTCTTCTCCATAACTCCATCCTGAATCCCTTTCGTCTCCTAGGAGTCTCTCTTCCTCAGAAAACAGTATCAACTCAAAACTGAGAACGTGCCCATTCCAGTATTTTCTCAAGTGTTCCAACTCTTCACACTCACTGCTTCACAGAATGTCAGCTTCTACCTACGATTACTAATCCAAGTTTTGAGATGAAAAATTTCAGAAAAGAATGCAACAAATGTGACTCTAACTCAGTACTGGAAGATGAATGCACAGGACTTGCAGAACTGGCTCTGGAACCCAATTCCTGTGTTCAGATACTGACCCCATTCCTAACCAGCTACATAACAATCAAGCCACTCAACTTCTACACAATAGCTATTTTCATCTGCAGAAACAGAATATCCACAATTCACAAGGATTGTATAAGCATTAAGTATAAACTTAATAGGTGCTCTGAATAGCACCTACCATAGTATAAAATGTTCAATAAATGTTGTCTTAACTAATGTTAAGTAGTGTTTCATCAATATGGGCAAAATTTCTATGCTAGTCAATTATTCTGAAACAACCTAAGAGGATGTCTGTTTTAAATCTAATTTCTTCTGCCTATTATTTTTGCTTGTATTTCTGCTGTTAGCACCACATGTCTGAAAGATCACGGTATCTATTCCTAAGACATCCATGTAAAAAAAAAAGTTACCATTTCAATGGCTCTTAAGAACCAACATAGTTAGGGCTTCAAAAAGTCCATGAAAAATGGAATTGAAAGATAGTGTGCAATTTTCATGAACATATTCAGACCCTTTCTATCAATTCTACTTGATATTCTATTAGTCTATGACACATAAATGTGTGTATTCTACAGGGACCAAGACTTTTAAATACAGTCAGAAAAGCCACATATATTACTACTTATAAATAGTAAAATAGCAATCTTATTCATAAAACTAATTACCAATCAACCAAAAATGAGTATGTGCCAGTTTATGGTAATGACCATGATACCAGATTCTGAAAATGCGAATGCCTGATCTAAATTACATATTTGTGAATTGTCAGACTTCCACATTTGGTCTACCTGTCCAGAAATTTTACTAGTATTCCTAACCCCACTCTTGAAATCACGTTCATTTCATCTTCTATTTGACAAAGTTATCTTTTCATGGCTTCTATGGTAACTAGGAAGATGACCGTCCAAAGATTTTTTTGGGCTCTTTATTAGGAACTGTTATCTTTCAGACATCTCCACTTGATTTCTCTCAGGCACTTCAAATTCAATCTGTCCAGACCCAACTTAACCTTCTCAAAAGGACTTCTTCCCTTTAAATTTACTATCATTGTAGTACTTCCTCTTCTCATCACCTATACCCAACTATCTGATCTAGAAGTCAGTCCCCATAGATGCTACATTCTTAACTTCACACATCTAGCTCCAGAGTTCAGGCACTCATGATCCCCTAAATCTTCTAACAACCATGGTTTCTCCTAACTGTGCTTAAAACTCAACCCCTTCTGTTAGCTGCAGCACACCTGCCTGTTGTTAAGCTCAAGAATCAAGCCAACTTCCTCCACAAAGTCTCTCCTAATCACTCTCCTTTTATGAGGGTAATTAAAAAAAAAATACACCTCAAGGTGAAAGACTTTAAAGATGATTCTGGGGCAAAAGAATTTGAAACTCTTGTAGTATACTTTTTTGTAACACAAATCTCCCATAATTTTTTGAAGATCTCTTACACATTTAGAATGTTTCTCTATTCCAAGTCTCTAAGAATTGGAATATTTGTCTTTCCATCCCTAGTACCAAGCATGAACAGCTGTCTGGTAATAAAACTCTTCAACAGTAGATGGATCTTTTAAACTTTTTTGTTACTGAATCAAATGCTTTTTATTTTCCAAATTGTCAATTCAAGTGACACAGAAGCCTAAATCTCTTATCTGAGAAGCATATGAAGCAAACAGAATGTACTCTGTAAAAACTTATGTAAGTTTTCTGAAATCTTGATTATTAATATACCAAAGAGGAAAATGAAAATTATTTTTTTAAATGCATACAACTCATTTCCTCAAAAACAGATTCACTTCAAAATACAGTTCTGCCCTCTAAGCAGGTATGTCATAAATATTCATGTTTATTCAAATATATTTGTAAGTCAAATGAAGACATAATGTTTTAAGTCCCATACTACTTTCCTCCTTGCTTCCAAAAAGCAACTAATTATAAAAACTAGTCTGAGACATAACTTCCCTAAAAATGTGTGACCAAAACAGATAACTCTGGTCATAGTGTTGATATTTTCTTAAGTCTTCCATTATTATGCAAGACAGATCTCCTTTTCCCCACCGAAAACTGCAAAATAATGACTTTCTTTCTCTCAAGAATCCTTCAGGATCCACCACTTTTATTTAGCCTGATCTTTGGAAAACTACTTCAGATGGAAACAGTTCTGTCATAAGGAAGCATCCAATCAGTACCTAGCAAACTCTCAATAATGTAATTTTTCATCTTTCTTTTACTTCAAAGAAAGCTGATGGCCTCCCTGAGATTCTCAATTAACCAAAAATATAAAAGAATTGTTCTTGTCTTTCATTGAACAATTGCTGTCATGCTGGAAAAATACCTTATTGAGAATTTTCTGTAAGCTCAACTACAATACAATAGTCTCCTCTCTGAATGTGGCTATCAAATCAGGTATATTTTTAGTTTACCCTGATCAGACTGTATGTGGTTATCAAAAAAGTACAACCAGGATTAAAGGGACCGACATTTTCAAAACTTCAAAATGAATCTTTTAAAATGGTCTCCTGCATTATGGTGAAATCTCATAGTGAGTATTCAAATGTATTCACCTAAGTATGCTTTGAAAATTAATGCAAACCAAATAAACAGAGATTTCTAACACCCACCAAGAAGTACTTCTTGCTCTTTGGGGTATATTCTGGATCCCATTCCTCTTCCTTCGGTCTCTTTTGAAAAGTAGTATTTGAGTTGTTTGGACCAGTATTTGTCCCAGCAAAAACTCCTCTGGCTCTTCCTCTGCCTCTAATTCGAAACTGATTAACATTAACAAAGTTGTTTAGTAATGCAATCAAAAGGCATTTAGTTACATGCAAACTCTAATTTTACTGCAGTAACAAAAAACAAATGCCCTAATTTCCTGCCTAAACTCAATTTCATAGCCACTGAGGATGGAAGGATGACCATTTTATACCACAGGCAAAAATTTCTGCCAACTGAAACTTTAGTACATTAAGAACTGAACAATCAAACTTGAAGTGTTAGTTAGACCACTGCATTTCATGGCTTACACTACATATATTTTTACACAATCACAGTTCCCCTCCCTCACTTTTACTAGCAAAAGGAACTAATTTGCTAATTCCTTTGAGTTACCATAGGAGCCAAACATTCAACCAAACTATCATCATGTCTAAGAAAAAGCTGTTCTCTTTCCCAAATGATATCATTAAATGAACCCTACCAATATCCAACTAGATACTTGCTCCATGTAGCAATCTGAATCCAGAAGTAAAATGGCAAGAAAATGTACTACTATGAAGTCATTAAACAGTTATAATGACTTTATGGGAAAATGAGAATATTATCTATTCTGTGTAGAATAAAAAGAAAAGTTAGGATTTCTATAGTTGACACACATAAGGACTTAAATAAGCAAAGCATGAAAATAACTAAGAGATGAACACAGAGTTTTTAAATGTTTTAACTTTTTTTTTTTTCCAAAAATCTAAGTGATTATAAAGAAGTAGACCTCAGTTAGTAACTTTTTCTGATACTTGGACCTTTAAGGACTAGTTATTGATCTCAAAACTGGGTTATTACCTAGTGTACATAAATGCTTCTACAGATATCAAAATGGTAACTCGTCAATGAAGATCAAATACTATATTTTTTTCAAGATTAATTCATACTGTAGGAATAGTGACTCACACTGACCATCTCAAAGTTATGTACTTGGCTTTCCTTATGTACATTACTCTCAGGTAAAGTCCTTTCAAATGATCAAAGATAACTATTACGTACAAAGGTTCCTCGTGGTCTGCTAACCCCTGCAAAGCCTGAGTATTCTTTCAGTTCGTGGTGAGTTTTAAATTCTTCTTCTCTTTCCTTCTTACTCTCCTTTTCTTCTCGAGAACTGGGAGAAGAAGGTGATGCTGAAGAGGATGAAGATCGAGAATGATCTTGCTCTCTACTTTTATGTTTGCTGCAAAATAAAGAAAACAAAATATGTGCTATTGTTAACAAGATAAAGACCTCATTGAATCTTATAATAAAAGGGATATTTTTCAAGTAAAAAAACTATCCCCTATTAAAATTATTATATAAGCAAAATAAAGGGTATTAAACTTTGACAGAGTCTGTTTCCATTCTCCTTCAATATTTGTTTTACATCACTAAAACTTGCTATGGCCTGCCAGTTACAAACTAGTAGCCTGTAAATTTCAGGAGTAAGGTTCAGTTCTTCAATATTTTTATTATCTTGTTATTAAAATGAAAGGAAGATAAATGTTCTTAAGACTAAGTTTCACAATGACTACAGTTTTTATACCCCAAGTGAGAACAGCTGGTATGCTCTGGGCCATAACACCATTATAGAAAATAAAAAGCATGACATTACAAATACCATTCATAAATTAAAAAAACACACAAGTAAAATCCACCATTTACCTAATGAACAGCAGGAGATACAATTGTCTATAATAGTTTGCAATCCTATGATTTGACTCTATGATGATCAAATTTACATGACTAACGCAACACCCGAGAAGATCATACCTGCAGTAAATCTTACCACTGCTAACAGTATCCATGGAAACATTATTTTCAAAGACTAATATATTTCTATTGCTAGTCCTTCCTCCCCACCCATCTCTCCCATGTTAAACCACTAGATATCAGTTCAAAACTCTTGTACTCTGGGTGTTATGAGTTGAAAAAGTGCGGAATCAAGCATAACGAACCAAAGTTCTTACACAAACTGTTTCTAGAAATGCACTGCATTGAAGTCCAACCTCCTGATGTAGCCTGGATAATAGGACACATTAATTTGTCATTTTTTTTTTCAGTGTTAGCTTGCTATTCCAAAGTTTTTGTCCTCATCCACCATAAGCCGTGTAAAAGACAAATACATTTTTGCTGTAAAACAAATAATTTTAATTGTTTAAATTTAAACATTTGATTACACAAGTCAAAATTGAAAGCAATTAAGCTGACAATTATTAAAGGCTAATTAGAAGCTAAAACCTAACTCATTCATTTCTTAACAATTACCTGTCATCTTTGTAAGATTTGTATTCCTTGTAATCTTTTGGAGTTTTCTCCTGCTTTCTTGATCCACTGGATTCCCTGGAGCCCTTGGAATCCCCCCGTTCTTTACTTCTTTCTTTTCTACGCCGATCAATGTCATGCCGAAGATCAGCAGAATCACATCTTAATTTTTTGTCCCCCTATAAAAGACAGATATAAAATACAGACTTCAGGGGAGAAATACACGCACAAATATGATACACACACACACATATAAGAAATCAAATTTTATACCAGTTTCTAAATTGGCATTTCAGTATCAGAAAATATCTGATCCTGTGTAATATACTACCATTACTTTGTTTAAAAATGTACTTGACTATTTTTACTAAACATATATGTACAAGTGCAGTGAGACTCAAGTCACTAAAAAGTAATTAGCTTCAAGATTTTACAGGTTTCTAGTCAAAACAATCCATAAGCTACTGTATAGCAAAATAATACAAATATTTTTCTAATCAGCACATCATTATCCCTCAACCTTCCGGAAGTTTTAAAAGAGTCGAATAATAGAAGTTATAATCTGTAGTTGTGATACAGCCTTCTCCCTATAAAGTTAAGGGATCCTGAAAATAATAGTTCTCATTAATTAAGCCTCATAATCATCAATCTCTTCCCAAAGAAGTTGACCAACCCAAAAAAAATTTCAAAAACAAGAATTCTGTAACTTCTATAACATGCAAGTAGAATATGATTAATGAAACCAATTGAGGTTGAACAAGGGTTGAAACAAAGCCAGAAAGATATTATTCGCAATCCTGTACTCAGTATCTTGGGCCATATACTGCCCTTTCTCAATTCAGGTATTGCAACGGACATTAGTTTAACTGGGTCACAATTCACCTCCTTCTTGTTCCATTGTTTTTTCAAATACTATATAATTAAGGAAGATGGAAAGAGGCATCTAGGAATGAAGAGAAATTATACATCAGTAAGATGCTAAGCAACGTGGACATCCTTGCTAGTATTCAACAATAAGAAATATTAACTCAGGGAAATCTAAGCTATAATATTCATAAACATGCATAAAACTGAAAGAATATACCTCCAAATGATATTAACTACTCACCTAATTACTCCCAAGGTAAGAAAAAAAATCTCATCAAAACAAAACACTTCCTTTCACCTAAGCATTATCAACTCCACAAGTAACAAGACAATTTAAATGAAGCTATCTTGTAAACTGCTAATTCACTTCCTATACATACATTAATTACATACTAACATGTATTATTCATTCAGATAAGATGATGAAGGATAAAAACCTATATCATATTTCTTGTCCATCCATTAGTTAGCACTACTCTCTCCTCCAGATCAAATTCTGGGCTAAACAATGAAAAAGCAAGATACTCACTATCAGAGCATGAATATAGATTGTTGGGAAAACAAAATTCACCAACAACGAAACCAACGTTAAAAGCCAAAATGCATTCAATCATTCATCTCAGAATCTTTTTCCAAGGTCAATATGCCTATGCAAAGAAGCTACTTTTTTTTTGTAAGCTCTAGTTCCCACGTTCAGGGAAAGTTAATAACATACCATAGTAAACAATTTGTATAATATCACTGTCACTAACAGCTTCCAATAATAAGTGTACCAATATTTTCACCAAATAGCTCAATGATTCAACAACTCCGTAAAATATATGTATTTTCATTTTCCTAACTGGAAAACTAAGGTTCAAGAAGCTAATCATTTTCCACACATCATACAGTACTTAGTCACAGCAAGAATGGGAACAAAGCAGTATTTCCAAGTTCCCTAATCTTTTCCAAACAGTTGCTCCCTTCCCACCTTTTCCCACATTTCTACTAGAGACTTTATGACCTGTCAAATAAGCTAGTCTATCTAGCAAATGTCAGTTTTGAATTATCAGAGTGTATCAGACTCCCTTAGCCAAAGAATTCCATTCTCAAGAAACATCCCTCAACACCTTTCACAGGCTCCTTTCTCAAGTTTAAATCCCATTCCCCCCCAAAAACACAGGAATGTGAAGAGCCTAGTATTTATTCCAAATGTTTTACTTGTAAATCAGTTCTTAGAATGCTTATTTCTTAATCCACATCAAAGACGCCCAGTAGCATGAGAATTATTTCATATTATCTGTAAAGAACCTAGAGATACCAATTTAGGCACATACAAATCAAGGAATATTTCTTGTCACTCATCTATCTCACTTCAAAACATTTTCAAAATCCTAATTTCTATGCAGATTCTGTAATTTTCTTTTGTCTAACCACTGATTCTTTACTTAGGATTAGTATTTTTGCTCACTAGTATTTTCAAAAACTACTCATGATTTAACTTACAATATTTAATATAGTGTCAGCTTAATTCCTTCTAGGAAGGAACACTATGTATCCTACAATGTATATTTACAAGTTAAAAATAGACGGTATCTGTAAACACTTTGCCTTAAGAAATATTTCATATACTATCATTAAGCGCAACCTAACACACACAAAAAAAGCACATTCAAAAACACACCTTTTGATTTTCTTCTTTAAAAATTCTCTCTTCCCCTGCTAAACGGGTATGCTTCCTCAGGGCACTTGGAGAGATGTCAATTCTCCTTAAGGTAAAATAAAGCATATTTGTAGTCACAATAACTTTATGGCTCAAAAAATACACAATATTGTCCATTTTCATATGTAGTACTATACAGTTATTTTTCTCCTAATCAAGAATCTAACTCCTAATTAAAAAATAAAAGCTACATCTATGAATTAAAATGCTTACCAGATGATTTTTATATTAAAGAATTCTCATCTTTTAAAACATTTTAAACATCAAAAGTAGAATTTTGTTGGTCTACTACCATTTTAAATGTAAACCACACAATTATAATACATCAATATTCTCAATGAATACAGTATGAACAGTATTACTGACTCAGTAATCTTAAAATTTTTACAAATCCTATGCATACTCAGTTTTAGTTGGTGCCTTTCCTCGACACTTTAAGCTATGTTTAGTTGCAATATTTTATACTTCTTAGAGCAGTCACCACCAAAACCACATCAATTATGCATGGTAACACTGAATTTGGTCCTTTATAACTAATATCACTAACTGTCTTAATCCCTCAGCAAAGTAGGATCATCACAATATAATCAAGTGACAAAATCAGGATTTCAACCTAATTGTCTAATTTCAGCTTTCAAACTCTTACCAGTTCTATTTCTCATCAATATTTTTATTTCAAACAAACTTACTTAAGTAAATTCAAGGGTCATTTTAGGTATCCATTCCTCTCCCCCAAAAAGCAAATGAACTGATAAAACAATTTAACTTCATAATGGACTGCTAAGAGTCAGTATTTTTAAATTCTATCAAGCAGTTTAAACCAAGTAAAGTGAAAAATGAGACAGAATGTAAAATTTTCAAGACTCGGGAATATAAGGATGATTCAAAAAGCTCGTTTTGGTACAAAGATTCTCAAATTCATGTATGTGGAGGTCTTCAAAAAGTTTATGGAACTGCATATTATGAAAAAAACTGCATATATTTCAGATTTTTTTCAACAAATACTCATCTTTTAATTGCATTTTTCCATGAATTTTCTGAGGTATCCTTATATAGTTACTCAAAGTCTAAATGAGGAATTAAAACCCAAGTATTTTTATCACAATAACATACTTCCAATCCAACATAATCATGATTAAACAGCCCCTTTCTATGAAAGCAACATTACAGGCCAGTTCAGTACTACACATACCTGTGTATCTCAGGGCTCTTTTGGCGGGTACTATGTTCTTCAGTGGCTTTCTGATACGAAGTAAACCGCTCGTTTAGGGTCACTGCAGGTGATTTGAAGTATTGCTCTGTTGATTTAGGAGAAACACTGGCCAATTAGTTACCTTTACTTTTAAGAGAGATTTTTGTTTGTGACAAGAAGGCATGTGGCAGGTAAAAAAAAAAAAAAAATATTCAAGAAACCTACCAGAAGAGAATCAAGTGTTACAAAAACCTCCTACCCTTTCCTTTTCAACTTCTTGTACCTCAACAGGCAAGTGATTACAAAGTTCCTCCAGAGGACCCAGTCAATACTACACAAAATCCAATACTACACATAATCCAAAAACAGTAGATTAAATCAAGCACCTCTAATTCCATTCCCTAATGCACTACTTCCTCAAATGGAACAATTATGTGGAACAATGTGGATATCCTTATACCTTGCCAATATGAACCCATGAAGCTTCTATCATTCGCAGAAAACAAAAAATATGAAAATAACTATAAAGCTGATTAAATAAAATTACTTCATCAACATCTATGTTGATATACCAACAGAAATGGCTTTAAGAAAAAACTGAATACTGTCAATCACAAAAATATTTTAAAAATCAATGAACAGACACTAATTAATCCAAAAATCTGGCGTCTTGGCAAACCTGACAGCACATTTGGTATTGCTGTCTTTCCTTAAACAATTTTAAAATTAGTAAAATCAATACTGATGAGCTTTTAAACCAGTTCAGGATATGCTGTAAATGTCAAATAGGAAGATGTATAAAGTCATGAACTATGAAATGTTACAATATGAAGCAAGCTATCTGCTTAACAGGTCAACATACATCTGTGTCAACTTACCGCCCAAAATCCAGCACATGTCTCATAACCAATCATTAAAACTTGAAACGGCCACTACCAGGGTAGTGCCTCAATCATAATTCCATGAAACCCAGGAATTTGAGCTAGCAACTCAGTTTTTATGCCATTTTTGCCAGGAAGACAGAAGATTCAACTTTGCCTGTATCTTTCAACAGCTATTTTACTTTGAAACATGGATTTTGCCATTTCAAAACATATTCCAGGACCTAGTTACAATGAAAAAGAAAACATCACTGGGCATTTTCAGCTCTGTATAAAGTAAGAGCTGTTCAGACTGGTTGCACAATACCATTTATGAAGCATAAATATAGTTTTAAAAAATTTAAAAAGAAAAAATTTAAAAATTTATTAAGATCTGATCTCAAAATTCAGCAATAAACAGTAAAATGTGGAGACAGGTCAAAAATGGTGAAAAAAAGAAAAAAGATAATGTTTCATATTTTTCATACCACCGTAATATGGTCATAAACTGGTTCACAAACCTAGATAAAGCCAAGCAGCAAAACTCGTTACCATGCTTAAATACAGTCAAAAAGAAACTCATTCAATATTGTTTTAAAATGCATGAGGAATCGCTAGTGAAAAGTTTCAGCTATTATAATGAGGTATTCTCATGTCCACTAACACAAACTTAAAAAAAAAAAAGTTTAATAACTGACAGCCTGGGAGGTTCCTGGGCAAGAACCTGTTTTATCAGTAAGCTTCTTTTTAAACACAAACAGAAAACCTAACTGCCCATAGAGTCATACCCTAAAACCTCTGAAAGTTATCAGTAACTTTGAAACAAAAATTACATATTGGTTAAAATAGAAGATTATTACTTTAGTTGAAATTAACACATTATCTTTAGGCCCTAAAGAAATGTCACTTATTATCCTATTTAGTCACTATATCACTGTACTTATAATCAGCTTATCTAAAGCACTCAATTTTTTAAAATCTTTCCCGTTTAAAAAATCTGACAAGTTTTCTTCTAGTTTATCATTAAGTCTTATAAACGAGTAACTCAGGAAGAAAGACAGTTTACACTTTTTTCTACTGGTTTCTGACTTTTTTAAAAAAAACACTGAAAGGAAAATTTTAGCAAATAATGCTTGGTAATAATACTAACTCATTTGTTGTAAATCTATGCAAAAGGTACATTATCACAAGTCATAGGCATGCCATGAAAGATAATCTGTAAGCACTCTGTACTTCAAATCTTGTTTGACAATTTTTAAAGACTACTCAACAAATCGGTATCATGTTTTATCATGATGTAAATTTTTTAGAATGTTTTAATCCTAGCATTTGGATCACTTTTTATAAACACCCCATCAATCTTAATTCTAAGACAACTGATATCTCGTCTATAAAAACTATGTTTTTCCAAATTTTTAATGGTATTGAGGTACACCCGCCAGCCATGGGGTACCTTTTTAAAAGTAAGTACTTTTTATATGCATGGGAGAGGCACTGACCTCACAACACTTAAAACATACAAGCATACCTTTAACATGATGAACCAAGGACACAATGTGCTGTATAAATGACTCCGAAGTGCTTTTGCTGGCCTGTGGCAACTTAATGTGGTCAAAGATGGATCGGAATTCTTGTTCCTTCTTGACAGAATGGACAAGTGTACTAGCAAGTAGCCTGTCTTTAGTCAAGGAAGCAGGTCTGGAATGTATCGATAACACACACACACACAAACAAAATACAGCATTGGTTTGAATATGAAAATGGTATGTTAAAAAAATAATTAAATGGATATTAACTAGATATCCATAGACTACTTACTGGGCATCAATGTAGAATTACCTGTTAGAATCATCAAGAGGAACAGGCGCCATTTTGAGTTTGACTTCAGGACGGTGAGAATCACTGGCTATCATTTTGATCCTAAGTGGGCTCTCCTCTCTGAAGGTAGACTTTTCTCTTGTGTCAAGATTCTTATGCAGAGGGGGACTATAATCAAAGAGGTCTTTGAGCTTTTCAGACTTTACCTGCTCAGGTGACTGAGTTTCTTTCTTTACTGTTATTCTTTCAGAGCTTTTGTCTTCTTCCTTGTGTTTATCTTTTGTAGCGCTAGGCCTTTCCACTACATATCCAGTCTCTTTAAGCTTGTAATTTTTTTCTTCTCTAAATCCATCACTTTCTCTATTGCCTTTCAATGAAACTTTGGACTTGTACTTGGGTCCTTCCTCCTCAGTATTCCGGTGAGATCCAGTACCAAAATTTTTACCCTGATCTGCAAGGACTGACTTTCTAAACTGTCTATAATCCTCTGTCTCCTCTGTGTCATCCCCTTCCGAATCATTAAACTTCTGTTTTCCAGACTCTTTATCACTGAAATAATCTAGTGCTTCCTGATCTTCCCATTCTCCCTCTGCCCTTCCTTTCTCTGATCCTTTCTCTTTTGGAGCTTCTTTATCCCTGGTATTACCCCTATCAAGCAGGAATACTCTAGACTCTTCATCTGTGAACCTGTAAAGAAGCAAAGAGGAGGACAGTTAACTCTGGATTGCATTCACTGCATATTGTTTTGCATACTTCAACTTGCTGCCCAATACCACAGGACCAGCAATAAGAGAAAATAATCCTTTCAACAAAGTTCCCCTCGCCCAGGTTCCACTTTGAAAAATCATTAAAGCAACAATTTAGAACTTACACAATGACTTTTTAAGTAAATTTACATTATAAGGCTTTAGTATAAAAAGGTAAAGCCATTCTCAAATCTATCCTATTTAGTCACAGTCCACAATTCTATATCAATACAACATTGCCTAAAATTTAAGACTGCAAACCATTAACAGATAATTCCCTTATTAGAATTCTGCTTACACTTAAAATTACAGACTATTTCATTTAATTTTTCCCTGTTAATGTATCTATCAACACTATTACAGTCAGTGAGAAATACCATCTCTTCTACAGTCAGGCAGAATTTATTAAATACTGAAAGCACTGTTTATAATACCACACAAATTATATGACATTATTTATCTAGACTACACTCTCAGGATGAAAAGAACAAAATAAGCTTTTGGTGCTCTCATATCACATTGTTTTCTCAACAGTTTTACAATTTCTAACATTTATCATACTTTATACAACTTAATTTCCCCTCATTTATAATTTTAATTCTGGATTAAAAAAGGAGGACTATAAATTAGTTTTCAACATTTAACTTCCAAAGTCCACCAAAGAGTAAAAACAATATGGAATTCTTATAGAGGAGGAAGTAATGAGTAGAAACAGCTAGTTACATACATATTACAATGTAATTTTAAGTCTTCTAGTCCCAAATAGAATTCAAAGAACAAAGTATTAATATAACCTGAATTCTCTAGTTCTTACCTTTTTAAGAACTTTCCAGACTTTGCAGTTTCCTGATCTCCGCCATCAGGATAAAAGGAGGAACGTCCCCTAGAGTCATCTCTTGGAGCATTCTGTGGCGTGATTGTCTTTGCAGGGCTTCTTCGTGAAGGGATGTGGTGAATTGGGCTATTCTGAGAAGGGCTATATCTACTAGACCCATTTCCAACAGAACCAGATCCAGACCTTTCAGGACTATGCTGAATGGAATGTGAATGCTGAGAGGGGGTATTTTTTGCAGAGTGGACTGTACTGAGCATAGGGGCATCAGAGCAAGATGAACTCTGACTAGGTGGTGTAGCAATAGGTGAAGGACTATGGGGTGATCTAGGACTATTATCATAAGCTGAAAGGCCTGGCCAAATATCACCGGATGTGGCTGATGATTTATTGAACTCATCAATAGATTCAGATGGGTCATGTTCAAAAGTATCTTTCGGTTCCTCTTGTGATTTACTTTTCAAAGGACTCTCTTCTTGGGGCTCCCCTTCAGCTTTTTTGGTTTGTTTTTCCTGAGATCCTCGTCTTTTAGACACAGGAGATTTGCTATATGGGGATGAAGAACGAGAAGACGATGATCTTGGAGACCTAGAGGATCTATATGACCGGCGAGATCTGCTTCGGGATCTTTGAGAAGAAACAGATCTTCTTTTTGGACTCCTGGAACGTGATCGACCTCGTCTAGGACTCCTAGAGTGCCTTCTATTCCAGACAGGTCTATAACCACCTCGATGATATCTACCTCCTCCTCCTTGGTAATACCCTCTACCCCTTCCTCTGTACCCATAAGGTCGTCTCATTCCTCTATTATTTCTGTAATCCCGACGATAATCTCTAGAATAAATACGATCTCTACTACGAGATCTTGAATATGTTCTGGAACGAGACCTAGAACTAAAAATGAAATAAATATCAATGCAAGAAAAACAAAATATTCCTTTCTACTGTTCTAAGTATTTCTGGTTAAATATAGCATGTAAATAGTAAAAAACTTATTTGTACAAAAGTTCACTGTTTTTAATCAAAAAAAAAAAAGCCTTACTTCTAAGGTAACTAATGAGAGAGAAAATTAAAGATCTTAGAAATAAGGCATAGAAAATAAGAAGAAAATCAGCATGTACAATATTAGGACATAATAGAAAATTACAGTTTATAGGCAGGCACTTAAATAGATAACATGAAAACATTTAATGGTACTATTTATTATTGAATAGGGAAAAGATTAACCAATATTATATACAGTGAAATACCATTAGAAAATAACCAAACTAGGCCTAGAAAGACACAAAAATCATAATATGATTTATTTTTAATGGATTGTATCCACTTTCTACCTTTTTTTTTTTTTGACAGATAGTGAGACAGACAGACAGAGAGAGAGAGAGAGAGAGAATAGTCTTCCTTCCGCTGCTTCACCCCCCTAAATGGCTGCTACAACCAGAGCTATGCCGATCTGAAGCCAGAAGCCAGGTGCTTCCCCCTGGTCTCACATGCAGGTGCAGGGGCCCAAGCAGTTGGGCCATCCTCTAGTGCCTTCCCGGGCCACAGCAGAGAGCTGGACTGGAAGAGGAGCAACCGGGACTAGAACCCAACGCCCACATGAAATGCCGGTGCCGCAGGCAGAGGATTAACCAAGTGAGCCACAGCGCCGACCCAGATTGTATCCACTTTTATTTTCAATGTGTGGCTTCTATTTTCTATGCTATGCATGTACTACTAACTGAAGAAAAACCAGTCATTTTCAAATAAAAAACATCTTTTGTCAGATACAAAGACTCAAGGGCCAGAAATGAGATGCTATAAGAACAGAGATCATTTACTGCCAAATAATTTTTATATTACCCAATTCATCTCTTAATATTATGAATAGGAATATGTCATTTACTAGCACAATGATCTGGAATGAGACTCAATGGATTCAAATCTAAGTTCTGTCATTTATTATCCGCATTTATCTGCAAATTGGAACTATTTTCAATTTCTCCAACTTTACGGTGAGAATAACAGATTCATTTCACAGACTCTGAGAATATTAATGGGTTCAGCACTCTGTCAGTAGGTAACAGGCACTCAATAAATATTTGCTGGTATGATTATTAAAAGAATTAAGAGCACATTAATTCACCTGTATCGCTTCTTCCTAGAGTGTGATCTTGATCTTGATCGAGAACTAGACTGTGATCTAGACTTCGATCTTGAAGAATGTGATCTAGAATTGGAGCGACCCATTTCTCCCTAGTCAAAGAGCAAAAATGGTTAACACCATCTTATGTTTGAAGTTTCACATTATTTGCAGATACAAGTAGAATTTTATGTATTTCTCAGACATCACTATTCATCGTTACCATTCTTTTCAAATGAAATTTAGAAGACAGTTCAAGATCCTAACTAAAACTGTGTCATCACCTAAATGACAGGTACTGTATATTATGACACAACAGAAAATTTCTATGGACTGCCCCACATATATGCCACAATCCAAAAAAGCAACAGCTGCAGATGCCAGAAAGAGCAATGATATCAGACTGCAGCAGTATGCTAGATGTCACTCCAAGCCCAATACAAATGCCTATCTCTCCTGTAAAAAAGATATTATCAGAGTATTATAAATAAGGACTCTGAAACAAAGAAAATACAAGTGGCACAATACTGAAGCAAAATAAAATCTACAAGACAGTCATCACAGTAGTTTATGGTCTTGAAAAAGGACCAAACTGACCACTCAATTTACACAATACTGCCTGGAGTGGTACTGGAGTCTCCTAGTAGAATAAAGGGCACTATGCCTTCAAACAGCTGAAATAATGGCTCTGCTCTTCAGGAGTCATGACCACAGGATAAAAATGGACTTATGTGACAATACCAAGTTCACCCTGTAGCTTTCTGGGAAGATGAAAAAGGAACTGGAGAGATTGCTACAAGATATATTAGGATTACATGGAAAAGAAAAGTTGGGAGCCAATACTTTAACTTTAGTTCTAAACACTATAAGGTATCCAATGCTGCAATTATACCTCAAGAAGTACAAAAATCATTAAACAGTCAGGACTGATTTATATTTTATATTTCCAAGGAAGTCACTGCATGTGTATTCCTTCTGCTATATTCTAAACTTTCAAAAGATTTTTGAAAGTACAGTCTCCGCTTCCCAACCTTATTTGGGCTATAAATTTCATTATTTTTTTATTCAAAATAATTATTTCCATAGAAACCGACTTACTAAATTTCTAACAGTCTGCAATTTCCATATATTTAAATCATATCCCCACAACCAATTATACTTGAAGGCACTTATTTTCCCTAACTAAACTTTGATCACCTTTACAGATTAGTATTTGGAGATATTAAAATGAGTTATAGAAGTTATACATTGATATTGTTTGCATAGCTTCTTCTCAAAGGACATAAATGACAAACATAAAAGGTTTCTGATGTATCTATTTTAAAACTCTCTTCAAATACATTAGCGCCATCTTTTACTCTTCTTCTCAACCTCAAGTAAGCAAGAAATCATAAAGATAGAAGTAAAATATAGGACAAGTGATCAAAAATGTGGAATAAGAATCCCACAACCAATATAAAAGTAAATTTAATATAAACACAAGGAGATCTAGTTCTTGGTAGAAAAGACAATCTGGCTTACCAAACTGTCATTTTTATTTTGATAGTGAAATTTACAGTCTGAAACAAAAGAACTGTGGACCATAGCAAATTATGACACTTTATTGCTATCTGATCTCAAAATATGCTTCTCTCAAACTTTTTAAAGGACATATGTAATTTATTAGATTTGTAATTAGATTTCAAGAAACTGACGTTTTTTCCTACTCTGAGATCAGACACTGTGTAAGAAACAAAAAGGAGCAGCCATTTAGCCTAGACACCTACATCCCTGATCACAGTACCTAGGCTCAACTTCCAACTCTGGCTCCTGACTACAGCTTCCTGCTAATCCAAGACCATGGGAGGAAGTATTGATGGCTCAAGTAGTTGGGTTCTTGCGATCCAGGTGAGAGATCTGGATTGAGTTCCATACTTTGGGACCCTCCCAGCTTTGGGCAGGCTTCCCCCCACTCCACCAAAGGGGGATTGTTGCAGGCATTTGTGAAGCAAATGAACACGAGAACTTTATCTCCCAAATAATTCTTTATTAAAAACAATAAAACCAAAAATCCAGAGCTGCAAATTTTGGAGATCCCAAGAAGGCAAAATTTATTTTCCCTGTATTAACAAGTAAAAGAAAACACTCTCAATTCATTTAAAGATAAAGTTATTGGGTTATGTGTGTATCTGTAGAATCTCTGTTCTTAGCTTTTGGGACATTTTTATGGTAATTTCTGCTACGAGATTCAGGAATGTTGTAGGCTTTTCCAGTCTAGAAATCTTAGTTGGGGTGGAATTAAAACACACACACACACACACACACACACAAAATTAACAGATTCTAGATTAAGAAAAACAAATTCTCCTTCCAAGACTATAGACTATCCAACCAAGCATTTTTAACAGAATTATCTGAACAATATTATACATGGTACTATTAACTATTAACCATTCCTTACAATGAAAATTTGGTCAAGGTAAAGACAATGCCTTTTGTCTTTTATGTTCAATAAGGATATAACACTGCTTATGGTATGAGTACAATAGTTATTTCATAAATAACCTTTGAATGAATGCATTCTCCAGAACAAGGGTTTTGTTTTGTTTTAAACAGCAAGTTTTTTTTTTTAAAGGCTGGGGTTTTTCCTTATTTCTATATACATATCTGAACCTTCAAACAAAGTGATAAGAAAACATCTATTAATTATCAGTCCAAAATAAATTTGGATTTTTTTTTCCTGATTGCCTATAAAAATAAAAGCATATGTGGCTAGAAGAACCCTGGAATATAACCTCTGTATTTAGACCACCTGTATCAAATTCAGGCCAGAAATTTCCTTAGATGTATGCCCTTAGTATCTTTCAACCTCAGTCACTTCAATTGTAATATGAAGAAAATAACAGTACCTACTTCATAGAGTTGTAAAGGACTAAATGGGTTGACACATGTATTCTACTTAATACAATGTTTGGTACACATAAGCAATTAATTTTAATTACCTTAACATCAAAGGAGAGAAAAAAAGTTATTGTACTCCTCTTGACTGCATGAGGGAAGATGGGTTAAGTAGCAGGGTCTTTCTGTCTTGTTTTGTTTTTAAATAGCTTTGTATATTCTGAGTCTTTTAGTAGATGTGTTTACAGAAGTAGAAGAAGCAGATATACAACCTAGAAGCAGGAGAGATTAAAACAATCTTTTTCCTAAAACTAACTTACAATCTGGCTTAACTTCATACAAGCACAAAAAAAAAAAAAAAAAAAAAAAAAAAAAAAACCCTGCAGACCACATCACATGTTTCTTTTACACATTTTTGTTTGTTTTTTTTTTTTATTTATTTCAAAGTCAAAATGACACAGAGGGAGAGGGAAAGAAAAACAGGGAGGGGGGAAAGAATAAAAGGAAAGAGGGAGGAAGACTGAAGGGGGTGTGAGAGATTGATTTTTCCATCCATTCACTGGTTCACTCCCCAAATGCCCACAACAGTGAGGGCTGAGGTAGGCCAAAGCCAGGAGCCTGGAACTCAATCTGGGTCTCCCAAGTGCATGGCAGTGACTCAAGTACCTGAGCCATCATCTGCTGCCTTCCAGGGAGCACTGGCAGGAAGCTCGATCAGAAGCAGAATCAGAAGCCAGTATTCAAACCAGGCACTGCAATGTGGGATGCAGGTGTCCCAAGTGGAAGTTTAACCCACTGTGCCACAACACTGGCCCAAGACCACATCATTTTTAATCATTCCAACTGAATCATCAGTTCAGGAGTCACATTTCCAAGTTAAGCCAAAACTAAAAACTAGAAAGATGAGTGTTACTTACCTTGGGCTTTATGCAGGATCAATAAGTGAAGACTGTAAAATTCTTCCTGGAGAGAATGTTCTGAGAAGTTAAACTCTAGCTTCAGATTCCTAGCAAAGATTTAAAAAAATTAGATTTATGGTAAATATACCGTGAACTCTATATAATACCATGAACTCTAATAAAGGCACATATTATGATTTCAAGGAAGGAGAAACTGATTTAGGAAACAAATTTTAACAACAAAAACTTGAAACTCAACTTTTTTAACAATCACAATGTGATAGCAACTTAATCTTTTGGTTTAGCTACATGAATTCTAATTTTATCATTTAGATTTTAGAAAACAGAACATATGCTGTCACTCTCAGAAAATCAAAAGTAGCTAACAATGCATAATCTGTACTTAAATAGAAATGGACCAGACCAAACAGTACCTAGCACACAGAAGTGAGAAACTTGGATTTTATTTTAACTTTAATGGGAAACCCCTGGAGAATTTGATCAGGATTGTCACACTATATAATTTACATTTTAAGACAACTGCTAAGGTTGGTGCCATGGCGCAGCAGGTTAATCCTCCGCTTAGGGCGTCGGCATCCCATATGGGCTCCGGTTCTAGTCCTGGCTGCCCCTCTTCCAGTCCAGCTCTCTGCTTTGGCCCGGGAGGGCAGTGGAGGATGGCCCAAGTCCTTGGGTCCCTGCACCCACATGGGAGACTAGGAAGAAGCACATGGCTCCTGGCTTTGGATCAGCACAGCTCTGGCCACTGCAGCCATTTGGCGAGTGAACCAACGGAAGGAAGACCTCTCTGTCTCTTCCTCTCACTGTCTGTAACTCTACCTCTCAAATAGATAAATAAAATCTTGAGCCGGCGCCGCGGCTCACTAGGCTAATCCTCCGCCTAGCGGCGCCGGCACACCGGGTTCTAGTCCCGGTCGGGGCGCCGGATTCTGTCCCGGTTGCCCCTCTTCCAGGCCAGCCCTCTGCTGTGGCCCGGGAGTGCAGTGGAGGATGGCCCAGGTGCTTGGGCCCTGCACCCCATGGGAGACCAGGAAAAGCACCTGGCTCCTGGCTCCTGCCATCGGATCAGCGCGGTGCGCCGGCCGCAGCAGCCATTGGAGGGTGAACCAACGGCAAAAGGAAGACCTTTCCCTCTCTGTCTCTCTCTCTCACTGTCCACTCTGCCTGTCAAAAAAAAAAAAAAAAAACCTTAAAAAAACAAAAAACAAAAAAAAAACACAGCTGCTGCTCACAGCATAGACAGCATGGGAAAGGGAAACAAGAGTAAATATAGGACGTTCAATTTATTAAATAGTTAATCCAAAATTTGACTGCAATCTCCTGACTCCAATTCCTGTGCTCTTTCCAAAACTCTTAACGGGTGGCTCAAGTAGCTAAAATTAAGGTACAAAATTCAAAATGTCAAATCAACATTCCCTTTATTGCAACTAACATCACTAACCGATTTCATGTGTAAATAAAGGTAAAGAATAACTTGCCTCAAAGGCCTTTATCCAACTATTCACCAATCAGTGAGGAACAAGGATTAAAATATAATCTAGCTTTATTTTTAAAAACAAAGATCATAAATATTTTAACAGAGCCTATCTTTATGGAATTAACACATAATGTCCAGGCAGAAGTGATGAGAGTAAAGAACCTGAACAACAAAATATCTTAAGATGCAGCTTCCTAGAATTCAATCTATTTTAGGGTACAATTTTAAGCACATTTGAGCCACACTTTCATTTTACCAGACTCAAGGAGCTTGCGCCCCACAACTTATAAACGAATTACTGATATTCTTATCTTTTAAAATCTTAAAAATAATATCCTGTCACTATTATTCTAGCAAACTAATTCAAATACTGGTTCATCATTAGCAACCCAACGTTGCATGTTACCTTAATCTCTTTCAGCTGCAATTTCTGCATGTGCAAAATCAGACTGGTCCTACTGAGTATATACAACTTGACTCAATGTCTGCCACATGATAATTCACTCACCCATTACCTATCATCACCAGTAAACCTTGTTTGTGGTAGTCTTTCTGCAGGCTACCCATTAGGTTTACCTGAGATAATTCTTGAATTTAATATTACTGTAATATTAATCTACATTACATAAATCTTCCCAGATATACTTCCCAAAATGTCTGGAATTTCACTTTAAGATGTTCCACAGAAAAGGGAAATAATAGTAAATAAAATTAATAAAATGCTAACAATTATTAAACTCAGATGATCACGTTGTACCTTTCTGCTTGAAAATTTCCTTAATTAAAAGCTTTCTAAAGTGAGGAAACAGAAATGTTGTCACAAAATCTCTACTCTTAGTCAAAAGGGGGAGCATAGGACTGGAGAATCAGAATACCTGCATTCTAAAACCAGGAAGTGCCACTTTCTGGATATGTAGTGTTGGCCTCTACCTAGAAAATGAAGAAATACTGGCTTGCCAAGTAAAATTAAAGTGTTTAAAAACTCCAAAATTATACAAAAATGTAGGATTGTATTATTACCTCTGTGTCGCTTAGACTAGTTGTTTTTTAGTCTGGGGAGGACAAAAAAAATTAAATGTTTACAACTCTTGAGGTAGTATTGGTGACCACTGTGCAAAAAGCCAAACATGAAAAATGAACAAATTCATATCCTACAGGTACAATATTTACATTAATTCTCCAAAGTGTTTGTCTTTTCCATTCCCTTACCTAAAATAAGTAACACAGAATTCAGAAGGCATTCGACTAAGTATTTCAAATGCAGTTTCTGAAAATTCCTAATCCAAAGCGCTATGCAAAACTGAAAAAAAATTCTTCCATTTCTCCAAGTTTTCTCTCATGTTATCTAGCAGATTGCTGCTCGCCTAAGTTATTCAATAAATTCAACTAGATCTTAGCCTACCAGTGAGAAACATTTTTAAGTGATTTAATTTTTTAAAGTGATTTAATTCTTAAAAATTTTTATTTATTTCAAAGGCAAGTAGAAAGCAAGCATGCCAGCTCCCATCTGCTGGTTCAGTTCCCAAAGGCCCATGACGCTAGGGAGCCAAGAACTCAACCCAGGTCTCCCACCAATTACTTGAACCATCACTGCTGCCTTCCAGGGTCTGCACCAACAGAAGCTGGAATGGAAAGCAGAACCAGGATGTGGGCCTTCCAAACAATATGCCGAACTCCGTCCCAGCAGTACTTTATACAAGTCTCTCACCAAGTTCTAAAATACTAACCTTCCAAGTCAAGAATCTGCTCTAAAGTCTTTTGTCATCATTTTAATTCTCTAAATTCAGGGGGATTGCGGTGTTGAACAAATGTAATGGTCAAAGTTGTGAAATACTGAGCCACTTTCCACAATCTCTCCCATCGAATTTACCCCGAACTGGTTAACATCACACAAAAACACAAATCCACCTGCAGCAGTTTTTCCTAAGTAAAAATTATCTTCTCAACAGTAGTCTAACCATTCCATCTAGAGTCTAAATGGAATAAGAAGTCACAGGACGAACTAGGAATTTTGTTTTCCTTTTTTATTATCAAGAAATTTAAAATAGGTGGCTGCAAAGGGATTTGAGTTTGAAGTAGCTAATCATCAGATCCAGCCACATTTGCTTTCAACTTTAGTCTTAGCTTTCAACACTTACACTTTTTAAGTGTGATGCAGAAAAGTAAGCAACCCACTACGTCTTAAGAAATTAAACTTAGAGGTTTAAAGCAAAGGCAAAGTCCACAACCTCAACTGGCCACTCCTACCCAATTATCCCCAGCACTGTCTGCCAATCATGGCTGCAACATTTCCAACGCGATGTAACAGGCCGCAATCACTCGCCCAAAGGCCAGGGCTTCCCTAGCGCATACTAATGGGAAACGGTCCTTCCGGCCGCCAGTGGCAAGGCCACTCTGCCAGGTCCAACAGCTAAGATCTGAACCCCACGGTAAGAAACAATCGCTAGGTACCAACTAGCTGAGCCAAAGTGCACGTCCGATTCAAAACAAGAGTGGGTTGCCAGGGCGACAAAGATTAACCCGAGAGAAAACTTTCCCACAGTACCAAGAGCCAACGGCGAGACAGCAGAACGGGATGCTAACACCGAGGAGAATTTACAAAAACAAGGTGTAAACCGACCAGGTAGCCAGGAAGCTGGAGAAAAGGGATGTAAACACAACGCCAAAAGCAGTCCACCTACCCACCGCACTTTGCGGCAGGTCACAGGATCAAAGCTCCAACGACCGGGAAGAAAGCGCTCCCAGCCAATGAGCCGGACACAAGTTGCACGTCGCGCCACCCGGCGGTAGGCAGGCAGAGGAGAAAGAACAGACGCGCGTGCGCGGGGCGTTCGGTCGGGCGCGCGGAGGGGTCCGGGCCCAAGACGTGGGGGAAGGGCTGAGGAGGGGAGTGTGCGCACGCGCAGGGGAAGCCGCGCGGTCTCTGCCTCTCGAGCCAGGTTCGCAGCCCCGCGCGCGCGCGCTCCGTCCGCGCGGCTCACCCCACCCCACACCCACCTTCTCAACCCGTTGTGCCTCGAAAAATCTGAGGAAAGCTGAGGGAAAGCCACACAAATAACCGCGCCACGGCTGCCGGCCTCTCTCGCCGCCGCCAGTCCGTCACTACCCACAAAAGAGTCGACGATATTCACCCGCCCTCGCTATTCACCGCCCTCTTAGCGACTCGAACGCGCCGCAAGGCCTACCTGACACGCCAAAGCACGGTTCCTGGGGTTTATCTCCGTTGGAACTACACAGCGGCCATTTCCCGACTCAAGAACGAGAGGAAAACCATAGAGGTAGCTTCGACGCGCTAGCTCGTCTCCGTCACTTCCGATTTGGGGCGTGGCCTCGCGTGCCGCTAAATAGCTGCGCAAGCCCCGCCCACCCTTCCGCCCTAAACCGGCTCACTGGCCGCTATTAAGATGTTGCCTGAGGCTTTCTGGGAAGTCTCGCGGCTAGTCTCGCGCGAAAATCGAGCGGCTCCGCCCTCCGGCCTGTAGCGGCTGCCTCAGCCTGGTTAGGGGTCCTCGGTGGAGCGGGCGTTTTCCCTCGCCGTGAGGCGCCGGGCTACAGTGCGTGGCGTTCTTTGGCGTGGCGCGTTCCTCACGCGGGGACTCTGTTGACCTCACTGTCGCCCCTAAGTTCCTTTGGGCTCGTCTGGCCCGGTCTTTTGGAGGACTGGCCCAAACGAAGCCAAAAACAAAAGCAATCGGAGGGAGGCTGAGGTCGCGGTGATCGCACGGCCGCGTCTCCCTCCGCCGGGAAGCGCCGCGCTGCTTCCTCTCTGTCCCCTCGCTGGAGGCTGAGCAAGTGTCGCTGTTGCTTTGGTAGTAGACTTGCCAAACGCACTTAAGTGGAAAAGTGGCCATGATGTGAGTGGCGGCTGGGTTCACGCCACAGTAGTGGGAAGCTGCTCGGGCTCTCCGGGCGGTGTGCGTCATAGGGTTTTTCCCTAAGTTGGAAGCGGGGCCGCTTAGGCTTTTCAGGTCGTTGGCATGGGCATGGAAAAGAAAAATAAGCGCACGAAGCAGTTGAGCCGTCATGCTGTAGCCATCGTGCGTGCCGTCCGCGGAACAGAGCCCGGCGTAGTCAGTCAGAATTATAAATCACGTTATAAATGGGCACGCCACATTGGCTTTGAATTTCGAATACAGCACATTTTCTATTAATACTTCTCCGAGCTGCGCTTTCTTCCTTAGGGCTTAAACTGTTATTACTTTGATGCTGAGGGACGTTAACTACCTTGAAGGATGGTTGGCTTGTAATTAGCAACCGGCGTTGTGTCATTCAGTACAATCCGTTACTGGGGCCCTGGTTGTGAATTTCACACTGCTTAGGGCGTTCTCTCCTCACACTCCAATTTACCAGCTCAACTGGAAAAAGACCCTCGTTTGGATGGAATGAGCCCTAGGTTTTCTCTTACTACGCAGACTGCTCCTCACCCCCCACCTCCCAGCCTCAGGACCGAAATCTTTGGCCCCTGTTGTACACTCATAAGATCCCAGCCATTTAGTAAGGTGCTTAGTAATTATGTAGCGAGTGAGTGAACTGTGTTAAAAGGAAAAAAACAATAAATAACCATGGATGGCTCAGTTCAACTCTGCTTTGTGTGTGTGTGAAGACACAGGGGAGCCCTTAGGGCTAATAGTTCTTATTCATTTACTCAAAATACATCAAAGCTTTTCAGGCTTAAGCCTTACTCTGCAATTCTGTTGTAAATATGTTGAAAATGAGGTCTTTTTTTTTTCCTATGGAAGTATAGCGATATGGATAGTATATATGAATTTGAGGTAGGAAAAGAAAGGAGACGCACAGGAACAAATCCTTGAATAAATGGAAGGTCCGTCCACACCTCTCTTGAACTAGGTCCATTTGGTATGTGATAACTTTCACCAATCTCTAACCATAGAGGTTTTTGTTTGCTTGTTTTTTTTTGTTTTGTTTTGTTTTGTTTTTGAACAGGCAGAGTGGATAGTGAGAGAGAGAGAGAGAGAGAGAGAGAGAGAGAGAGAGAGAAAGGTCTTCCTTTGCCGTTGGTTCACCCTCCAATGGCCGCTGCAGCCAGGCGCACCGCGCGCTGATCCGATGGCAGGAGCCAGGTGCCTCTCCTGGTCTCCCATGGGGTGCAGGGCCCTAGCACTTGGGCCACCCTCCACTGCACTCCCCGGCCACAGCAGAGGGCTGGCCTGGAAGAGGGGCAACCGGGAAAGAATCTGGCACCCCGACCGGGACTAGAACCCGGTGTGCCGGCGCCGCTAAGTGGAGGTGCCGACTCATGTAAATGATGTTTTATGTTCATTGTAGGAGAGTGCTTCAGAAAGTTTGTAGGAAATGGGATTAAAATATATGTTTATCAGGAAGGCATTTGGCCTAGCTGTTAAGATGCCATTGTCCCATGTTAGAGTACCCAGGTTCAAGACACAGCGCTGCTTGATTCCACCTTCCTGATAAAGCAGACCCTGGGAGGCAGCAGTTGATGGCTCTGGGAAACCTAGATTGAGTTTCTGGCATGCTTCCCCTGCATCCCCTCCCCACCATGTTGTCAGAACACTTGGATGCACACATGTCATGTTGGAGTACCTGGGTTTTAGTCTCAGCTCCACTTCCAAGTCCAGCTTCCTATTAATGCACACCCCGATAGGCAGCGTGTGATGATGACTCAAGTACTTGGATCTCTGCCACCCACGTAGACCTGGCTTGAGTTCCTGACTCCTGACTGGGGCTTGACCCAGCCCCAGCTAATGTGGGCATCTGGGAAGAGAGCCAATTGATGGAAGGTTTCTATCTGTCTGTCTCTCTGCCTTGCAATTAATTAATCAAAAATAAAGGAAGTTCATAAGGGTACAAGTTCTCCAGTGTTGAGGAGAAGGATACAGGGAGTAAGCAAGAAGGGGAAAGGCAGTCTATGCAGAGTAACAGCACTAAAGGTTCCACACACTTAAAGCACTCCCGGTGTACTGCCCAAGCCATGCCAGTTGTCCAAGTCTTTAGCAACCCGAGGCAAGCATAGATAGGAAAGAAAGAGAAGCAAGAACAAAAACAATAGCTAAAAGTAGTCTGGGCAACACAGTGAAAGAGATGTTAGACAGAGGCAGTCAGGGCTCTCATTAGATAATGGGTCCCTTGTGTTTTCTTCTCTTTCTGTATTTGTGTTTTCCACAATGAACATGTGTTACTTGTATAATCCATCTCTTTTTAACCAAAGGACCCTGGGAAAGTTTATTATTTCTGGAAATTATTGTACAGGGCTACTGTGACTAACCTTACTAATAAATACTCAAAAAAGAATGCTATGATAATATTTTATACCTAATAAATTAATAAACTAATTTTTAATATATTATTTTTCTGAAAGGTAGGAGGGAGGGGAGACGGACAGAGAGAGAGAGAGAGAGAGAGATCGATCCTATCCACTGGTTCACTCCCCAAATGACCACAATAGATGGGGCTGGGCCAGGAGACTAAAATTCCATCTTGGTCTCCTATGAGTGTGGCAGGGCCCCAAGTGATTGAGTCATCACTCGTAAGGTAACATCAGCAGGAAGCTGGATGGGCAGTGAAGCCAGGACTTGAGCCAGGCACTGCAACATGGGATATGGGTATCACAAGTGGCAGCTTAAATGCTGCACCACAGTACAATCCCTACCCCGGTAAACAAATTTTAATTTGTAGGTCACTGACAGTTTACTGTCAACATGTTTATGAAACTCTCCTGAGAGGTTTTTGGGGTTTGGTTTAAAATAATTAAAAGAGAGAAGTTGAGAAGGCTGAATATCTAAAAAGGACAAGGACAGAAAGATGGGAATGAAAATGGAAATGGAAGTCTGGTTCACTAAGGTATACTCCGTCACCTTACTGGTTTTGTTTATTTTGTTGTGTTTGTGTCTCTAACCTTTCACTAAATTTCGTTTCTGAGTGAGTTAGTCAGAGTTGCTTTCAGTTTTTGCAAACAGGAACCCTGAAGTCCATGACACAGTTTTGAACATAAACAAGTCCTATTTATGAGAACAATTTCCCAAAAGCTCTGGCATCTTTCCAGATCTATACCAATGAAATAAATGGTTCCTCTTGCCTAATCTGTTTCATTTCCTCCTCGTGAGCACAAGTTGGATAGGACTTTTTTTCCCCCTTTTCTAAATTTTTTAAAATTAACTGTAGACTTTTATTTTGTTTTTCGAGGTTTAAAATCACCAAAATAACTTTTTCAAGAATGCATTATAGGCGCCAGCACTGTGGTGTAGTAGGTTAAGCATCCACAGTGCTGGCATCCCATATGGGAGCCCGTTCAAGTCCTGGCTGCTCCACTTCCATTCCAGCTCCCTGCTGATGACCTGGGAAAGCAGCAGAAGGTGGCCCAAGTGCTTGGCCACCTGCATCCACCTGGGAGACCTTCAAGAAACTCCTGTATCCTGGCTTCGGATCAGCTCAGTTCTAGCCATTATGACCATTTGGGGAGTGAACCAGCGGATGAAGACCTCTCTCTCTGTTCTCTGTTTCTCCCTCTCTCTGTCTATAATTCTTCCTCTCAAATAAGTAAAAAATCTTAAAAAAAAAAAAAAGAATGCATTATAGGAGTTGTCATTGTGGCATAGTGAGGATAGCTGCTACCTCTTAACACCAGCATCCTATATAGGCACTGGTTCCTGTACTGGCTACTCCACTTCCAATCCAACTCCCAGCTAATGACCTGGGAAAAGCAGCAAAAGATGGCCTAAGTGTGTGGGCCTCTGCCACCCATGGGGGAGACCCAGCTGAAGCTCCTGGCTTTTGGCTTCAGCCTGGCCCAGCCCTGGCTGTTGTGGCCCTCTGGGGAATGAACCAATGGATGGAAGATCTCTCTCTCTCTCTCTCTCTCTCTCTCTGTAACTGTGACTTTCAATACACAAAATATTTAAAATAAAAAAGAATTATGTATTTAAATACACATCTCTCCATTTTTATAAAATATAAATGCCAAACTGTCACTATTAACCATTGTTCCTAAATCCTATGAAGACTAATGTGCATCTTGCTCAGATTATCACAATAAATAAATATGTAAACTCTTCCAAGTTTCCATAAGAAATATTTGCCCCAAAACTATACCAATTTGCTATTTAATGTAACTGCTAAAGAACAGAGAAGAAAAAAACCCTAAAATTAGATCATGTAATTATGATTAAATTCACCACATAAAGTCATTTCTTCCTTATGAGAATAACGTGGGTTGCTTATATTAAAACTATATCACTGAGTCTCATTACACATTTACTGTAGCAGAATCCATGGTATAGGCATACACCCTGAAGTTTGAGTACTACTAATTTCTTGAATATCTATGTAGTTTCCATGTGAAGTACAAAGCAGAATAACATATCATTGCTAC